TTCTGGGGCAACAACGAGTTCTACCAGATTGGTAGTGGAAAGCGGAGCAACCTAGCCACACCAGCATATATACAGCCACTTGACCAAGCCGCCGAGCTAGAACGCGCTGCGTCTGCCGGTGGGTTCGGAAAACAACTAAGAGAGAAGGAAATGCATCGGTTCCAAATTACACCAAGGAACAAGGTCAAGGTCAACGGCCGGACAGTCGAGTTTGAGCAAAAGGTAGAGTGTGGACGTGGATGCACTGCTGTTTATTCTGCTATCTAATTTGCTAGGCAAAGCCCCTTTTGATTCTTGTACATATACCTCCGCCTTTTAGGGCGCTCATCGCTACGTTTGACGACATGTTGTAAGATTAGGTTCAGGATACGCGATATCTCTCTCAAACCAAATAAGAAGTATTTGATAATCAAGATCATATCGTCATAACGATGGGTGAGTCCACACATTCGCTAGCGCGTCTTCATGACTAGACTCTCAGGGTCGGATATAAAACTATGCTCCGGATATTGACGTGCGCATGTCGTGGGCCTGCGGACTCCACTCCTCATCAACATAAAATCGGATGGAAGCGTTCCACGCGTCCACCCGGTCAGAATTCTGGAACCGACGAGTAACAATGACGTTTGCGTCATCACGCGTAGGACTATGCACAGTATGACGGAAGGCAATTACAAAGAAACAAGAAATACTATTGCAAAAGCCCAACGAGCGAGATTGCAAGTAAAACCCCAGCTAACTTCTGTTTCATTCGCAAGCATACAAGCGATAAGTTTGACCTTTTTCTCTCCTATGATGTCTTCTCCATCTTCCGACTCCGAGGCACGCCTTCCCTTTGATACTCCCGCAGCTACCGAAAACAACAGCGGCTACTACCTTGAATGCAATGGAATCTTCAGTTTCGCAGATCACTACTTGCCTCGTGGTACGCCGCCTTCGCATCAGTACATTTCGCCTGATATGCAGAGTCTAGATTATCTGAAGGGTGTTCCGAGGGCGAGTATGTATACAAGTGGCTTCGATCCATTAAGGGATGTGGGTGTTGAACATGCAAGTAAATTGAGAGAGGCTGGGAATGAAGTCAGGTGGAGGCACTATGGTGATATGACGCATGGGTGGTTGCAGATGGGCGCTTGGAGTGATGAAGCAAGGAAGGCGATTGGGGATGTAGCAGGAGATTTGAAAGGATTCTGTTATGGAAAGTAGAGTCGAAATCGAATAGCCACCAAGCGGCTGATAACTGTTGAATGACTGCATCGACTACATGCCTGCGTCGATGTCCTGACTAGCTAATTTGGGTATATGGTACAAAACGTGCGCAGCTACATGACTTTTGGTATAAATGCTGTGGTTCTGGAAGGATAATTCGCAAGGTAAGAAGAGAAAAATGTCGATGCTTCAAAAGGTATAAACAAGAACGGCATACGCTACTACGAAGATGCGAGATTGAACGGTCGGAGAAAGAAACAGGCATCCGAAAAACTCCCATCAGAACCGGTAGAGATCAGAGGCTGGTATATGACAGAGTCTTTAAAGACCCATGCGCCGAATCATCGCTCTCGACTCGGCTTCCGAGAGTTCATTGCCGTCGATGTTGATGCGACCTTCTTCGACCTGAGCGAGATCTGGCTTGACTAGACCATCATGCAAATACTTGAGGAAAGAGAGAAGCTGTTCCTCAAAAGCAGCATATGGATGCCGTTCCTGAGCTGCTTCTATCGCTTGAAGACTGGACTGGGACCGGTCTCGTGGCAGAAGCTCGCTGACGTATTGTTGTTTGATCCTCGTCCATTCGCGGTTCTCTTCTCGGAGGTTGCCTTCGGCGCAAAAGAGTTTTCGCATAGCAGCTACGTCGGCTGGTTCTTCCGCCCAGCGCTCGACACCAGGGCAGCCATAGGCGAAGATGGTATTGAAAGTCTCGTCGCCGTAAGCACCATTGCGAAGATATTCGCCTATGACAGCTTGCAGCATGAATTGCCCTGCCAAGTCGAACCATTCAGAAGTTGGGAGCCAGTCATCATCCAGGTTCACACGAGCGGCCGTGAGTTCGATGAAGACTGGCAGTAAGCAGTGGAGTGAGGGTGTACCTGCTACATCAGTCACCCATCTCCTCTGATCTGGAGGCATGCTCAATGCGGATGCAAGGGCTGATCGGTTCTCGTAAAGTGCGCCATCGGATAAAGGAAAATCTTTTTGCTGGTCGAAAGGATGTTGGAGCGCAGAAGGATGCTGGGTTCGTTGTCGCCAGTACTCGCCACGGCTCTTGTTCTGCTCACGAAGACTGTCGAGTGATTCCTCAGTTGTCCATGTCTCGTCATGGTGCAGTCTGTGCGTAAAGATTAGGGCGAACTGCAACAACCGGGACCGAAACGACGCCTTGGGGTCTAGACGTCGGCCATGGTGCCTGTGACCCAAAAACGTTCTCCAATCTTCATTTGGTCAGTAAGTGCTACAACAAGGAGATGATGTCGGTTCATACCAGCAGTCATGTTGACGAGTGCATTGGGCAAATCGGAATGATAAGGGTCACTGCTTGATCTCCATTCGAATATCAAGCCAATGGCTTTGTAAACAAGAAAGTCCAAGATAGTCAAGTCGACGTCGAACTGGTCTTCTTCTTCGTTTTCCATCCGACGGGTGAGATTCAAGCAACCTTCCCGAGGGTGTCGTGTACTGTCGTAGATGTTTGCCATGTTTAGTTGCAGGGGGCTGGAAGCTTTGTGGGAAGTGCGTGAGGCAGTCAACATGAAGGGTAGGCAGATATTTATGTAAATGGAGAGCGGAAAGGACAGTAAGAAGCAAAGGCGTAGAGGGAGGGGAGGAGAGGAGGCACGACAGGGAGTGATAACAAACGGTTATAGAAGTCAGGATGTCCCCTCTAGACCCCACAGTTAGCCCACTCTGCAGAGGACAAAGACAACAGGCGGCAGGCTGGTTCCAGGGTAGATTTCATGCGTCGTGACCCGAGTGTTTGTCTCGCTGCAGGGGCAGTTTCCCAAGGCATGCGCAAGCGAGGCGAAGGAGTTCACGTCAAACAGACAGGCTGAGTCGCGGAACAAGAGGCTCCACCGGCGTCGGGTCTGAGCAACTGGAGGGGAGCGGAAGAGACCGCACCTGCATAGTGGCTTCCCTTCTGAGACGACGGCGCCGTCGGAGAAGTTGGGTCAGCAAAGAGAAGAGGGAAGAAAAAAAAAAACGGCAACTCCTGTTCGCATTCAAAGTGTCGCATGTGCTGTGTAAGCGGGCTAGCGCGAGGTACCGGTGGATTGATGGCGCATGCGCCCAAAGCCCGCGGAGTGCGCGGCGATCGTCCATGCGCGCGCCGACGCCACCAGCATTCACCACCCCACCCATCTGCTCCGACACCTGACTGAAGCTCTGAGATGCGCGCCCGTCCACGGCTGCCGTTGCTTGACCATGCTGTCTAAGAAGTCGTCGATAATCATTTCGTCTTACACTAACCTCAGCCCCCTATACTATACTCAGGTCCCGGGCTGCTGCCCTCCACAGCCGCCCAAGTCATGCCGTCATACATTCCCACGTCTTGAGCCCGCACGACAACGGCGCGGCTACGCCCAACATCACCATGTGCCCGCGTACCCCGACGACGTAGAGCTGCTGAAATGGCCAGATGCCGAAAAACCACACAAAACACCCACGCCCTACCAGATTCTCAAATGCAGAAAGGGCGATGCATACACCAAGCACCGCTTCTATGCCCTCGTCAAGCTCTACCACCCCGACCGCTGCCATGCCTCGGCCGCTATAGCCCAGCTGCCCCTTCACGTGCGCCTCGAGCGCTATCGAATGCTAGTCGCTGCACACGACATCTTGTCTGATGTCCAGAAACGCAAAGCGTATGATGCCTGGGGCCACGGCTGGGCCGGCCACCACCAGACACCCACCGTACCCCGCCATAACGACTGGAATTATGATCCAAATCGCTGGGCCACGGACCCGCGTACCAATGCGACATGGGAAGACTGGGAGCGCTGGCACTACGAGAACGGCGGCGGCGGCGGCGGCAAGGATGACGCGCGAACCATCCAGATGTCCAACTTTACCTTCATGGCCCTCATTTTTGCCTTTGTAAGCATAGGTGGTGTCGTGCAGGGCACCAGGTTCAACACCTTCAACAACTCAGTCATTGAGAGGCGGGACCAGATACACCGAGAAGCGAGCATGGAGTATCGGCGGAGTAGGAATGCGACCCTGAGCGCAAGTGGAGATCGCGACGAGCGCATACGCACCTTCCTGGAGCATAGGGAGTCGACTATTGTTGGCGAGCAATCCTACCAGCGCTTGCTCCCGCCTGCCGACACCTGCTCGCCAGAAGAGGTCAGGAGACAGTAAAATGAGCATATTCTGGTGCCCAAGACAGACTTTACTATACCCTACCAGCACATTTTGGTGCTATATCGTACGACTGCTATTACTTTCGCCGCATAAATGGAGCTAGGGCGTTTACTTCCTGTACATATGATTCGGCAGGCGGCATGCAGGCGCGCGGCGGGCATATCCTAGCCGTCATGCGCTCAGACACCACACAAATTCAACGACAATCACCAGCAGTAGATCTGCCGCCTTTGTCATCGTGTAAACTTTTTTCCACCTCTAGCATCTTAGTCGGCCATCGTAGAACGCCGGTCGAGCAGAATACCAACACTGGCAATATATCGAGGAAGATCTACGCCAGAAGCAGCATAGCTTCCGCGTCGTCGCGTACACCCAGGGTCCAACAGAGCCTCAAACACTGCTGCAACTGTGTCACGGAGATCCAGCGCCAGACTATGTTCCAACTTGGCAATAAGCGAAATTTCTCAAGGGTAAGGTATATGACACAGGTTTTATTACTACATCTATGAGAACGCATGAGTGCTCGCGCCACCAATGCTCCATCTTAACGTTTACCGATGACGATCGTCGAATCGTTGACAACTGACGATTTTAACTTCGCAGCACCTGACATACTCGCCTATAGCTGCACCTGTGCCAACGACTCAGGCCCTGCGCAGCCGCTGGGCGACTTGTGGCGTGAGGACGCCATTCCTGACGTTGTCAAACTTTGAGTCCGGGTACAGCAGCCAGTTGGAGGACGACTCAATGCCTGCGCCACTTCCGCCGCCGCGCATTCTCTCAATAACCTTTTCAAAAGTTAGCACACAATTCATCTCCACCATCTTGCGCATGCAACTCACGTTTTGCACAATGCTCTCGGCGTTATCCGTCTTGTCACCGCTGATCTCCCACCACATGGCGCCACCCAATTTCTGTTGCGCAATGTGGTCAACCTTCTTCAGCGCCATGGCCACAGTATCGTAGCTGACAAATGTGCCGCTTCCCTCATCATAGCTATAGGACGCACCAACCTCCTCATCATAATACTCTTGCGCACCTGCTACCGGTAGATCCTTGAAGTCATAGATGCCCTTCTCGAACGACCCCTCGCCGGTACTGTCGAATGACTTCCCTACACCTTGAGTATTGGTGAAGGAGCGACCATAGAGCGGCATGCCAAGGTTGAGTTTGGAGGACGGAACGCCAGCAGCGTTGTAGGCGGCCAGGACAGAAGCTGTGTTGAAGGGTGTGCTTAGGGGATTCGACGTCGAAGGATAGAGATTCGAGTTATAGCCGGTTTGCTTGTCCCAGGAACCAGCGTAGTCGTATGCCTATAGTTTTGTTAGCTCATGTGCCTTTGCGACCGGGAACCAAAATGCTTACCATCAGGTTTATGAAATCGGTAACTTCGCTTATTTCCCTCAAAGGCAGATTCCTGTAATTCTTCTCACCAGCCGGCGAGGCAATCGTCAAAAGGAACTTCGGCTTCAGTTCATATCCAGAGTCGTCCTTATGCACGAGCTTATCGGAATATTTGTTCATCTGGCTCCTAATCTCCTTCAACAGCTCCAGCCATTGATGCCCTTGCTCTTTGTCCTTGGGATATTCCCAATCCACGTCGATCCCATCAAAGCCATAGTCGCGGATCAACTCAACACAAGAAGACGCAAAGCGCTGCCGGCCTGCAGCCGTAGCCATAGGGCCATCCATGTGCTTGTTTGTGTTGGTGTATGTCCATCCGCCTATGCTCAATAGCACCTTCAGGTTCCTGTTCTTGGCTTTCAGAATCTGGAGCTGTTTGAGTGATCCATACAAATTATTTCCCACATCGTTCCAGGAATCAGTTGCATAGTGCTTCTCCGCATCGGCGTACGAGTCTGTCAAGAAGACGGTGCCATCAGGTTTGTTATCGGCGAAGGAGTAAAGCAAATGAGTTAACCGCTCTGCTGGTATCTCTTGGGGCTGGAAGTTCCGTGTATAGATGTCCCAGCTCCCGTAATAAGCTACTGAGCGATAGCCAGGACGAAAAGGGATGTCAGGGTGAGCGGGGTTAGTACCGGTTGTTGAGGGTTGCGCTTCAGAAGTCGAGTAAGAAGGTGTGCCTGGTGTCGAGGACTGCACTTTTGTTTGGCTGGTGGACACAGAAGACGGAAAAGGGATCCCGGAAGTGATGAATGTAGTGTAGTGACTCGACGGGCTGATTGTTGAGGTGGGGTCGCTGGGTGGAGCAACAGCTGAGTATGCTGTAAATGATGGAGAAGTAACTTCACCTGGGAACTATACCCATGGTCAGCATGCTAGACTGTCTCATCTACGATTGGCAGGTGAATCAGTCTATACCTACCACAAAAACCTCCATCAACGCATAATTCCTCTCAAGCTTCTCGATTCGCTCCAGCAAGCAGTCTTGATCACATTCATCTTGCTTTTGTTGCGCCAAGCTCCCTGCGACAAGTAGAAGTCCCGTCATACATATTAGCGCAGGCAATGAACGTGCGTACTAATCACATCATCAGTCTTCCTGTTCCTTCAGTCATTTTCTCTTTTCTGACATACCAGCATTTTGCAGATTCTTTACCCAAGTCAATGGCCAGAGTAAGCAAGGGAATTGTGATGATCGCCCGAATAGTAATCGCAGTGGGTCGCTCCGCCTTTTAACCCACCGCATCTCGCGCATGGTTGTTCCCATCCCGCCTCTCTGTCTCCCATGCAGCGGATATTTGCGGAGTCTGCATTGCTTGGATGCTCTCCCCGCCTTCTCATTCTCCATATCACCTGTTTGGTACATCTTTCCCGGGTGCAAACCATAGAGCACTGCCTGTTCCTGGCAAGGGTCTTGCTTGTTTTGGTAAGCAGGGTCTGGGTTGGGGTTCGGTACATGCAGCCAAGTCACCGAAGAGGTAACATAAGAGCGAGAGATTTGGAACAGGTGAATATAGATACATCATGTGTATGCAAAACAACGGGTTTTGGGGCCGGTTGATAAGTGCAACAGGGATGAGCAAAGGGATGGCGTGGTGTGGTTGTTGGGGATACCGAGGCACCTATAAGCTTCTCTTACAGGTATCGGCTAGAGGGCGAGGCTGGCATCCGGACTAGATGGGTTGTTGTGAAGTGTGTTTCTCATGCGTGATGAGAATCCTCACATGTTCAATGTCTGCTTCGTTCGTACCCACTCATCTTCAATTGCCGCTGCACCTCCTTCTTGGTTCCTCTCCTCAAGTAAACTAACACATAAATGACCACAGTCAAAAGTGCAGCGGAGGCCTGTACAATACCGATATACCAACTCGCACTCTGCTATCGTGTTATTCGAATCCTTTCCTAAAGCTTTGCAATCTGTCCAACTTACCTGCACGTTGCAATATCTGCCAAAATCAATATCGCCCACAAATTCCTTCTGGATCGCCCTCGCACCTGCACTACATGTCCATCCCCAGAGGTCGTTACTCTTTCCGTTCTTGTCTTTCTCCGCGCGATACAAGCCTGCAGCTACACACCATACCACGAAGTTCCCAATGAGATTGATCCAGCTGAAAGTACTCGTAACGACGCTTGCTACGTTGGCTTTTTCAATGCCAAATTTATAGGAGAACATTGTTGTGAAATTGAGCAGCACGGAGACGGCCGCAACGCCAAAGTACATGTATGTTGGCCATGCGCGCGTGTTGTGAGCCCAGGGTGTACGCGAAACGCTTTGGCCGCTGGGAAGTGCGACGGTGCGGTAGATCGTTCGTGTGCTGAGGAATTTGTAGAGGGTGAGCGCAGTGGGAACAAGGACTGCGATGGATATGAACAAGGCAAGGGTGCGAGATACGATGCGTAGTTTGCGTATGCGCGTTTTCAGGTGCTCGAGTAGATGTTAGTCTCAACGGCATCATTCTTGCAGTGCTTCTTTGTTGAGATTGACGTACTCTGTCTTCGATCTCGGCTTCTTTGAGATCCTTCAAATCGGCATATGGTAGTATTTGGCTGTCATATGTAGACTGGAGTGGCATCGAGTGAGATGCCATGGAGGATGAAAATTCCGAGGAAGTCATGGTTTGTGGTAGTAAATGTTGTAAGTCTTGCTCTTGTGAGGCAAAAGACGTCGAAGTATGGCACGTATGTGCAGCCATTTCTTCTGTATATCACTACAAAGAAATTTGAGTAGCTTTCCAAACCAAACTGGAAGTTTTAAAGGTTTTGCGTGGCCTTTTACTTGCGCCGCATTGCGTCCTCCTACTTGTACGGAGATCATCATGGTGATCTTCATGCCGTTACATCAGCAGCTTCAGCTGTACCAGCTCCAAACGGTAATTGACTGATCGCTTCGCGGATTGCGTCGTGATGTATCAGCGAAGCTAAACTGTAGCGCTTACAAACCACAGCTTGTGGCTGCCGTTCCTCTGACCGTAAGCGGTATCGAGATGGTGGCTTGGTAGATGCTGATTCGTCGAGTCAGCCTCAGAGTATGCTTACTGATGGCGATCCTATTTATAGGAGTTGTTCCTCGTTGGCGCAGTCCCATTGAATATTATTTTCAGTTTTAGGAGTTCATGATCAAGTGGTATCCATGGACTTCATGCCCTTGCAGCAGATGCATGACCCAAAACCGGAAAGAGGCACCGGCGCACAAGACGGTTAATTCCAGTTCAGATTCAGGCCATGTATGGGTTACGACTCCTGGACAGACTTTGTCCCGTTATCGGTCTTTGTGGTGCCTGTTCGATATAACAATTTATAACCTTACGGTGGGCACATATTGCAGAACAACTGCTCCGAATTGTATAGTGATGATGTCGTAATCTTGGCCCACAACTCGCGTGAAACAAGTTCATCAGCCTTTACAGGCGTCACAATCGTCGCTGTAGGACAGAACGCTGCGTGAGACGTTCTTGGACTTCTTCTATGCATCTTCGTCGAGCAGACAGAACTCACGGATGCCCTTCTAGCACTCTAACTCTTTTTCGACTGGTAAATCATCCAGGCCAGCAACTTTTTTCCACCTTCTCCTCACTATACAATATCACCCAATCGGAACGGTAGTATCATTCTTTAATGTGCGTCGGATTTAGGCATGGATGCATTCAGACTTTTGAAGATCTTCAGAAGCTAAAGGTTATGCTCGTAAGTCTCGCGACCAAAGCCCAGGCCTCTTCAGTCCCAACAAACTCCCAGTGGTCATCGGAAATGCATTCTCGGGTAACTGGAGGTATCGTTATTATGCAACTTTCTCAACGCTCGAGATCCAGACGAAATTTTGTTTACTTAACATTTCCACGTTGATTCCTGGTGAGGCAGATGGCCTCTACGGACAGTACCCGAAGAGCTGTTTTCAGCGCTCGGTAGTCATCTCTAGTGCTGGATAGAGAGCCGCGATCTGAGTATCCACGACGAGCATTGCTTGTATGTCGCGCTCTAAACCGTCCCAGCCAGCATCTGTGCTTGTGTAGTTGATTTCGGGATTGGAGGTCAGGTGGAGTGCACGAGGGCTTAGGCTGTATGCTGAAGATATTCCTTCATGCTGTCAAAGCTGGCTCTTTACAGGTTTCAAACACTTTTAATCTGATTCGATGCTTTTGTGAGTGGAGTCGTTATCCTTACTGTGTCATGAAGAGTCACAGGAGCTACGCACTCGCTTGAATGTTCGGAGCCACTTCGAAATGACTAGACCGCATTTGGATTCTGCAACCAATGCATCATTGCATCAGGTTGAACATTTTCATGACATTGATTCGATAAAATTCATGTAGCCTTTCGATTCTACCATCAAAGCACTTCACGGGAGACGTTTGCTCGATCCCGAACACCCGCTTTTACCGCTCAACGCGCCGTCTCATCAACGCAAGGGAGATTAGAGGGAACGAGCAAAAGATGGTTTAGTGAACAGCTGCGCAGACCAGGACAAATCGATCGACGGAACGTTTTGCACGCGAAGCATGCTGCAGTCACAATGATCTATTGTTGAGTTTCTCTCCACAGTCCGCAAGCGTCCGCGTGGCCCTCGTGTGTCGGAAGTGGGCTGTTTTTGACGGTCCCTGTTGGCAGTCGCAAAGTTTCACCAGCCCGGGATCTCGGAACACTTGGCAGAGCCAGACACACGCTGCACTTGCAGGTGTACGAGCTTCCTCTTCCGTCCGACGACTGTCGCTGCAGACTCCCGTATGAGAAAGGCATGTCCTAGGCACGGCATGTCGAACTATCAAAATACCCGCTTGAAGTGGACCCATTCCACTTCACAAAATGACACTTGGCTCATAACCGAACGTTGAAAGCGCCTTAACACTCTAGGCCCCGACGTAACGGGTGCACAGCCATAATTACCGAGGCGTGTTGCATGCAAGAAAACAACAGAACTCGTCCGGGTAGGCTTTCGAAAAGGCCAAGGAACCCGAACCAAAAAAGGCGGGGAAGAGTAACGGTTTCATCAACAACCAGACAATGCGAGCTCGATTACTCTTCTGTGTGAGACAAGGACCTAATCGGAGCTCTTGTCCATCCGTCCCGCGCGCGATTAGTGCGCAATGACGATTCCGAGGAGCCAACGGGTCGTGAACAGGTGCGAGTCGCATGGACCAATTCGTCCCCATCCTTGCGGCAAGTTGCCTAAATGGACGTTGCAAGCGGAAGCGCCAGATGGACCCTGTTGCATTAGTGACAGGGCGTAGTTGATAATTCCCATACTTAACCAGGTGAACTCATTGATAAGTTGCTGGCTACCAACAGTACCCATTGGTCTGCACCCATCCTTTCTCACAGCAGAGCACCACCTCCAAAATGCACAATACTATTCTCTTAGCAGCTTGGGCTGGCGTGTCTTATGTTCTCTACAAGATCATCTCTTCGATCATCATCTCACGCCGCCATGCTGCTGCCGCGCGTCAATTGGGCTGCTTGCCCGCCCATCCAAAGAAGCAGTCGCCGCTTGATCCTCTCGGAGTTCAGAACATCGCGGAGATACTCGTGGCGGATAAACAGGCTCGTCTGCCACAGTATCTGAAAGAGCGAGTCGATGACGCAAGTGACAGAGAGGGCAGAGTCATCAGCACGTTCCACCAGAACATGATGGGTGCCGAATCTTTCTTCACGGTCGAACCAAAAAACATCCAGGCTCTGTTGGCTACGCAGTTCAAGGACTTTGGGCTAGGAGAAAGGCGAAATGGAAACTTCTTTCCATTGCTTGGTCACGGCATTGTAAGTATTGCTATAGACTAGGCTACAAGCATGTCAGTTGCTAATATAGGGCAGTTCTCTAGCGACGGCGAGAAATGGGCACATTCAAGATCACTACTTCGGCCTCAGTTTGCGCGAGACCAGGTGAGCGATCTGGATCTCGAAGAGGAGCATGTGCAGAATATGATGCGAGTCATCCGCACCAACTCGGACGGCTGGACAGACGTTACAGACCTCAAGCCGCTCTTCTTCCGTCTGACCATCGATAGCGCCACAGAATTCCTCTTTGGCGAAAGTGTTGATTCTCAGCTTGCCGCGCTGCCCGACTACAAGTCCAGCAAACCCCCAATGGCTGTGAACGAACAAGACTTTGCCAATTCTTTCGACAAGGCCCAAGGCACTATCGCCACAGCTGGTCGATTGCAAGAGGCCTACTGGCTCGTCTACAACAAGGAGTTCAAAGAACACTGCAGACGCTGCCACGCATTCATTGACCATTTCGTTCAGCTTGCACTATCGAAAGACAAGAGGACCACTCAGGAGAAGTCACACGGCAAGCAGAAGTACGTCTTCCTTGATGCGCTTGCAGAGTCAACCCGCGACCCCATTGAGCTTCGAGAACAATCCATCTCAATCCTCTTAGCCGGTCGTGATACTACAGCATCGCTACTGTCTTATGTCTTCATGGTGCTGTCACAGCACGAGGATGTCTTCAAGAACCTACGTAACATTATCCTGGAGTCGTTTGGTACCTATTCCAACCCACAGGAGATAACATTTGAAGGGTTGAAGTCGTGCAACTATCTGCAGTGGGTTTTGAACGAGACTCTGCGTCTTTACCCAGTGGTCCCTATCGATGGTCGCCGTGCCTTGAAAGATACTACTCTACCTGTCGGTGGCGGCCCAGACGGCACCGGACGTATCTACGTGAAGAAGGACACGCCGGTAGACTACAGTGTATACATCATGCACCGTCGTAAAGACCTTTGGGGTGCTGATGCTGACGAATTCAAACCTGAGCGCTGGAACGGCAGGAAGAGTGGATGGGAGTATCTTCCTTTCAACGGTGGTCCAAGAATCTGCATCGGCCAGCAGTTTGCTCTGACAGAAGCTGGCTACACCATTGTCAGGCTGGTGCAGAGATTTGAAGCCATTGAGGGTGTTGGGAACACTTGGGAGCCAACAGAGAAGGGTGGTATGGGATACGTTAGAAATGGGTTGAGCTTGACGACTGCACCGGCGGACGGTGTCAGGCTTCGGATGAAGGAGGCTAGGGAGTAGATGTGTTCAATGCGGGAGTTAGGGCGCAATCATAGGCTGCTTATTCTCTGAGCCTCTCATTCGATGCAATGCTGAGGGAGCTGCAGATAGTCTACTGGCGCATCTTGATGTGCGCAAAGAAAAAACATTTACAAATTACTTTTCTCGGTTATACGCAATGTCCAGCTGGACTTGTAATGAATGATATCCTAATTTCAAGACTCGACATGGCAAATAGTGAAGCGAATGAATCGTGTAGAGCGTGGCAACTCCGCAGGCCGTGGCGCTACGCTAGTAACCGATGGGCAAGGCAAGGATCCGCCGGCGGGACAGAGGCCAAACTTTTGATGCACTGCAACAATCTTCGGAACCATTACGCACCACATCGCCCAATATGCGGAGAGCGCGTGGACTTCGGGTGAGGATCAATAAAAGTCAATTGGCGATTGAACATGTCTCGACTAACAGCGGCAGGTTTCTTCAACCCGCGACATCTGCATCTTCTGCGCCACTCGTCAGTTAGCCGTCTCGAATACACTCGCTACATCCTCCAGCGCTACGCAACGGAGAGAGCTCAACTCATCCAGCAGAACCCCGCAGTCGGCTGAGGGAATCATATACAAAGATGCAAATGAGCGCAATGAACCAATGTCGCAGGCACAGCGTATGCGGCAAGCGTTGGCAGCCAGCGCTCCCCATGCCCCTCCGCCGCAACAACACGGAGGACATATGTCGCCGGCAGAGAGGATGAGAGCATCATTGGCAACACAAACGCCTACATATGCCCAGTCACACATGTCACGGCAGAATCAGCCAGAAAGGCGGGCAATGAACAGAGGTGGTGTCTTCGATGGGCCGGCACGGAACCAGAACAGAGACCGCTTTGGACCCGGGGCCAGGAGGAACACGGTGAACGACCGGGGGAATGACTATAGACCTCCACCGCAGAATCGATATTCTGTTAACATGGATTCAAGACCGCCCGTCCACACTCCAGCATTCAACTCAGGTCACTTGAGACGACGAAACGATCCACAGCCTGGACGCGCACCCTTCGGAGCAGACGATCGAAGGCCACCACAGGTTTCTAGGCCTCCGCCGCAAAGCAAGATGCTGGACCAAGACGAGATATCCAGGTTATTGGGTGATGCGTCCACAAAACGAAAGCCATACCAACCACTGGCAAGGGACGTGAATGCGCAAAGAACATGTTTCCACTGTGGGTCCAAGGAGCATCTGAGCAATGCCTGCCCAACGAAACCGACACTTCGCGAGCGGCCGCCCCAAGCACGGTCGGAACAGAAGACGACAACATACACGCCACCTCACCGCTACCAGGAATCGATATCCGATGCGGCAGAGGCATGGGTACAGAAGTCTAAAGGCAAACTGGAAATCGAGCGGTCGGCACGGGTGCAAATAGAGGAAGATAGCAGGCGGCGCAATGACATGGAGAGCGAGAGAAGGCGAAGCCGCTTTGCCTTTGACGAGGCAGGAGGGGTCAAGAATCGATACGAGGAGCCCCAGCGACGACAAGGCGGGAACAAGGGCAGGAACCGGCGCATTCAACGGGATGAAGAGGAGGATGAAGATGGGCCACAGGTCAGCAAGCAAGAACGTAAGCGACTACGAGCTGAGGCGAAGAAGGCAGCACAAATTGCCAAGAACGAGCCCACGCCAATATCATTACCCGAGTACATCAGTGTAGCCAATCTGGCGGGCGCTCTGAGGCTAAAGGTGGAAGACTTTGTGCAGAAACTGGAAGAACTTGGATTTGAGGATGTTCAAAATGACCACATCTTAAACGCGGAGCATGCCGGTCTCATCGCGCAGGAGTACAACTTCGAGCCAATTTTCCAGTCACAGGAAGATGATGGCGACCTCTATCCTGCGCCACCTCTAGAGCCTGAGGCTTACGCTGAGCTTCCTGCACGGCCGCCTGTTGTCACAATCATGGGCCATGTTGATCACGGCAAGACGACTATTCTCGACTACATGCGTTCGACCAGTGTGGCGGCTACCGAATTCGGCGGCATCACACAGCACATTGGCGCGTTCAGTGTTCCTCTGGCAAACGGGAAGAAGATCACATTCCTCGACACGCCCGGCCATTCTGCTTTCGAAACGATGCGCGCTCGTGGAGCCAACGTGACCGACATTGTGGTTTTGGTTGTTGCTGCGGATGATTCCGTCATGCCCCAGACAGTCGAGGCTATCAAGCATGCACAAGCGGCGAATGTGCCTATGATTGTCGCCATCAACAAGATCGATAAAGCGCAAGCCGACATTGATGCTGTCAAGCTTGATCTCGGTCGTCATGGTATTGAGATTGAGGACTTCGGAGGTGATATTCAAGCCGTCTGTGTTAGTGGAAAGACCGGACAGGGCATTCCGGACTTGGAAGAAGCCATCTCAACATTGTCAGAGATGTTGGACCACCGCGCCGATCCTGCAGCCGCAGTCGAGGGGTGGGTTCTCGAGGGTGCCACCAAGAAATCTGGACGTGTGGCTACCGTCCTAGTTCGTAGCGGTACTCTTCGCCAGGGTACGTTGCTTGTTGCAGGAACTACTTGGACGCGCGTACGTACTCTACGCAACGAAGCTGGTGCCGTGGTCAAGGAAGTGGGACCTGGCATGGCTGTCGAAATCGACGGCTGGCGCGATCAGCCCGTCGCTGGCGACGAGGTGCTTCAGGCAGAGGATGAACAGCACGCTAGCTCAGTGACTGAGCTTCGCAGCGAAAAGGTCGACAGAGAGCAGATGGCGCGTGACATGGAAGCCATCAATGAAGCTCGCCGTGCAGAGGCCGAACGTCGCGAGGCTGAAGAGGCTGCTGCTAAGGCCATCAAGAATGGTGAGGAAGCTGTAGTCGCCGAGAAGAAAGAAGCTGGGCCCGAAGTTGTTTCTTTCATCATCAAGGGTGATGTGTCTGGCTCTGTTGAAGCAGTCATCGACTCCGTCTCGGCACTCGGCAATGCAGAAGTGTCAACGCGTATCCTCCGCCACGGTGTCGGCGCGCCATCTGAATTTGACGTCTCGCACGCCGCCGACGCAAAAGGGCACATCATCAACTTCAATACTACAATCCCTAACCATGTAGCCAAACTAGCGGAAGAAAAGGGTGTTAGGATCCTAGACAGTAACATCATTTACCGCGTCGTTGAAAACGTCAAAGATGTGCTATCAGAGAAGCTCCCACCAAAGGTCACCCAAAAGGTCACGGGTGAAGTGGAAATCGCGGCAGTCTTTGAGATCAGTCTCGGCGGCAAGAAAAAGCTGAAGGTTGCCGGAAGTAAGGTTCGCAATGGTATTGTTGACAGGGGTACCAAGGCCAGGGTACTCCGTGGCGAGACCGTTGTTCACGATGGTAAGTTTTTACAGGCCCTAGTTTGGAATGAGGCATGTGCTAACGGATACGTTCAGGTGTGATAGAGTCGCTCAAGAACCAGAAGAAAGATGTGGAGCATATGCGCAAGGATACCGAGTGTGGTATCGGATTTGAAGGCTGGGAAGACTTCAAGGTTGGTGATCGCATTCAGTGTTATGAGGAGAAGTTTGAGAAGAGGAACTTGTAAGATAATGCAACTTCGTGCGTGTATACTAACATGGCCTGTTTGGGGGTCGATGATTGAGGGGATTGAGAGTTACCCTTCATCGTGCATATATATGTAGATCCATAAATGTATATATATTGATACGCTGATCGTTATGGCATTGGACAACCTTAATTCTAGTAGTCCTTGTGCAATCAATGCAGTGTTGCGCCGTGTTTTTGATTTCCCTCTACATGTGCATCCCCTACATTCCTCCCCTACGCATAGCATCAGACGTGTTTCCTCAACTTGGCGCCGGTCCATAATACTGGCGCGAAGTGTGTCGACATGTTGAAACCGAAGAGGGAGGCAAACCATAGTATTGCCAAAACCGCTACCGGAACTAGAAGGAGCTCGGTATGGTGTAGGAAGGGCAATTCCTTGTAGCCCAAAAACGTGATGATGAAGTAGTAATTTAGCGCGAGCAGGTAGAGTGTGTTGGAAAGCAGCAGTGAGAACCTAGAACTATCAGCACTTGTTCTAGCTGTTAATGTTGACTCTTACCAGTGGTGAGTACCAATCAATGGCATGCATATGAACTGCACGACGTAGAGAAACACCCAGACTGGCACAAACGCTCTAATGGCGACATCCCAGCAGTAACCAAACTCGAGCTCTTCCTTGCCTGAGTCTTGTCCCAAGTTGTATAGTCCTCTCCGTCGCCCAGGTAGCAATGTGTTGTCCGGACCCAATAACCGGCCGACTAGGAAGAAGAACAGGGTTGCTATCAACAGGGATAGCACCAAGAAGTGCCCAAATATGAAGACCATGGTTATATGAAGGGTCTGTGTAAAGCCATCGGCGTATGCGAAGCCCCATGCGAGTGATGTGAGAGTGAGGAAGAAGGAGAGTAGGTATGTGAATGATGGGTCGGGGCGGTGGTATGTCTTGGTGGTTTGTTTCTACACATGGTCAGTTGGGCTTGGGCGCAACACGCAGTGGAGATTGGGAATGCATACATGATAGTAGATTTGTCGGAACACCTTCTTGGGTGCTATTATTAGGCTCATGATCTCCCATATGGCCATCTCAAAGTCCATCTGTGGAAACTTGAACATGCGCTTGAAGAAACGCGGCATCTTGACCTCATTCCGCCGTGACGAAGGGGTCGATCCGAAGTTTGACGGGCCGCCTGTTGGCCTTGGGAGCGATATGTGTGGATTCATGTTGGATGGGCTGCTGAAGGAAGGCGCGATGCTGAGAACCGGGGAATTCGAATACGCGTCTGGGATGTCTTTGTCACCGCGAGTCCCAAACTTCCATGGTGGGAGGAGCGCGTGAATCGTCCGGTGGTTCGGTGAATGTTTGACTATGTGTTCGGTACCTGGCGATGACATCGCCGTTGAGCGCTAGTGCCAAGGACGAGGCTGACAGGCCGCCGCCGAGAGCAAGCCCGCAACGCCGATGCCGACTCGCAACCTTTGTCACCTCAGGACAACGCGCCCGCCCAACCCAACCACGGTGAACGGCGCATCATCCCAACGACCCGCGCGCATCTTGGAAGCTATTTGCGCGACCTTTGCACCTGCCCAAAGCACCGCCAAGGCCTCCCCTACGCCCTCGGCTTTCTCGCGCGCCTCGGAACGCTCCCTCTAGACACTACTAACCACGCGACCAAGAGACGCATTGTCTACGACACAAGCACGCCTGCGCACATCGTAGTAAAACGCCCACTGCTACTTCGCGCTCGCTTCTGACAGCTCATCACAGCTCCCGCCCACTCGCAGCCATGGCGGACGACGCTGAGCTCGCCTTCCTCGAAGCGCAAAAGGACGAATACGACCCTTCCGCCGGTTACAGCATGAACGACGCCCCTTCCGGACAGGACGAGTACGACCCTGCCGCTACATACTCACCACACTCGTACCAGTCGGCATCGATGCCGCCCGAGTCTGGCGCAAACTCACCACCGGCCGCCGGTACCGAGGGCGAGAATGGGCTGCAGCCCCAGCCTACTCAGACGTCTGCAGAAGACTCCGCAGCGCCGCAGTCCAAGCGACCGCGAACTGTGGGTGGTTTTGTCGACGAGAGCGAGGACGAGGAAGAGGAGCCCGCTGTGCAACCAGAAGAGGCGAATGCTACACTGAATGCTACTGGAGCTTCAGAGACTCCCCAGCCATCTTTTACAAACTCTCCAAAAAATACCATTCCCAACCCAGATGTACAGTTACATAGTGCACAAGATCAGGCTCCCGCATCTATCTCTGCTTCTGTCGCTGTCAATGAGCCTGCTCCCTCTATTGCTTCTCTTCCTAACGGCAGTACGCCTGTTGCAGACGCTACTAAGCCAGGTGCTCCAGACGTCATGACTGTTGCTTCAGCTCGCCCATCAGTGGCTCCAGCTACTCCAGCTCCTATGTCTGCTTCTCTGCCAAAGGCTCGTCTTCCTCAGGACCGAGTGGGTATTCTTGAAGATCGCATTGCTGAAGATCCACGTGGTGACATCGAAGCGTGGTTGAGTCTAATTGAGGAGCACCGCAGGCGACACAAGCACGACGATGCACGAGCTGTCTTTGAGCGTTTCCTCAAGGTTTTTCCTTCATCAGTAAGCAGGTCCATCGATATCTCATGTCAAGTACTAACATGTCTAGGGCGAGCAATGGGTCGAGTACATTGCCTTTGAGACCGAGCTTGATGAACTGCCAAGGGTGGAGCAGCTCTTTGGTCGCTCCATTCCCTCAGCCCAGTATCTCGGCATCTACTCTGCTTACATCGACTTCATCCGCCGTCGCTTCAACCTCACCACTGATCAGAATGGCCAGAATCGTCAGACCGTCACGCAAGCTTACGAGTTCGTGCTCAACTCCGTCGGTCTAGATGTTCATGCTGGCAAGCTTTGGCTTGACTACATCGAGATGCTGAAGACTGGTCCAGGTGTCCTTGGTGGCAGCAGCTGGCAGGACATGCAGAAGATGGATACCCTGCGTAAGGTATACCAGCGCGCCGTCTCAGTACCACACAATGCTACCCTAGAAATTTGGCGGGAATACGACAAGTTCGAAATGAGCGTGAACAAGGTTTCGGTGAGTCATGTTACGCTTTGCCTGGTACATACACGATACTAACACGAGTGACAGGGTCGCAAACAACTCCAAGAGACGTCACCTTCCTACATGACTGCACGCAGCGCGATCAACGTCCTAGACAACAACATCACGAGGGGCGTGAACCGAACCACCTTACCCAAACTTCCACCCGCTGCTGGCTTCGATGGTTACGAGGAGTACATGAATCAAGTGAAGCTATGGCACAACTGGATTCAGTGGGAGAAGAGTGACCCACTCGAGTGCGCGACCGACAATCGGGAGCTATACAACAAGCGTGTTCTTCACTTGTACAAGAATGCCCTCATGGCCCTCCGCTTCTGGCCGGAACTCTGGTACGAAGCAGCCGAGTGGTGCTACGAGAACAACCTGCAGGCTGAAGGCGACAAATTCCTCAACGACGGCATTGACGCGAACCCTGAGAGTTGTCTCCTAGCTTTTAAGAAGGCCAACCAGGTCGAGCAACGCACCGACTTCGAAGACGGTCAGGCGGGCATCGTTGCCAAGGGCAGGGCGGTACGGGAGCCATACCAAAGGCTTCTAGACAGCATCTACGATCTGACAGCGCAAGTCAAGAAGCGAGAGGAGCATTCCATCTCCCGCGCGAAAGAGCAGTTCGAGGCACAGAAGGCTGCAGACGACGCCGCTCGCGCAATCGCACAGCAAAACGAAGACGCTGACGACGAAGACGAGGTTGTGCAGCAGCGACGCTTGAAAGAAAAGGAGGACGCCTTCAACCTTCAACTCCAGGCTATGTCTGCCGGGTACAATGCGCAAACACAAAACCTCAAGAAGACACTCACGTACGCGTGGATAGCTCTGATGCGGGCTATGCGCCGTGTTCAAGGTAAGGGAGATCCTAGAGGCGAGGTTGGTGGCTTCCGTGGTATTTTCACAGAGGCTCGTAAGAAGGGCAAGCTGCTCAGTGAAGCCTACGTCGCCAGTGCGCTCATCGAGCACCATTGCTATCAGGAACCGGCTGCACAGAAGATCTTTGAGCGGGGCATGAAGCTATTCCCAGAGGATGAGCAATTCGCATTGGAGTACATCAAGCACCTCATCAAGCTCAATGATTCTACTAGTAAGTTCACAAATCCGTGTAGTAGGGCCAAAACTAATATACATAGATGCTCGTGCCGTCTTCGAGACCGTCGTTGGCAAGCTCACGGCTAAGCCCGAGACCGTTCATAGGGCAAAGTCGCTCTTCGCCTTCTTCCACGACTACGAAGCCCAGTTTGGGGAGCTGGCTCAGATCACAAAACTCGAACAGCGCATGACGACTCTCTTTCCCGAAGATCCTCACCTGCACCGCTTCTCGCAGCGCTTCGCGAGCTCGACCTTTGACCCCATCTCCGTTCGCCATATAATCTCGCCTCGCACACAAATGAAGCCAGTCATGCCTTCGGTCATGCCTTCTATTGAGGAGCAGCAGCAGCAGCAGCAGCCGCAACAACAACAGCCGATGCCTGCGATACCGCCACAAATTGTAGCCGAGCAACAGCGCCTTCAATCTCCCGGCATTGCAAACTCCCCACATCTTGGAAACCTGGCCCCTGTTACGAACTCACCGAAGCGCCCTCTAGACGATGCGGACGACGTTGCACAGCCTCGTAAGCTTGCTCGCGGCGAGTCACCTCTCAAGGGTGCGGCAGGTCGCCGTCTCGATGCTGCACGCCGCAACTTAGCCACGACCGGTGCCACACCAGTTGGTCAGGCTCCAGGTCCGCCACCTCTGCCTCGTGGAGTCAATTTCCTCCTTGGCATCATTCCTCCTGCACACACATACAAGGAGACGCGCTTCAAGGCTGACGGCTTGGTCGCTCTGTTGCGTGACGTCGCTGCCATCCCTGTTCCTCCTGGCCAAGGACCGCCACAGCCGCAGCGTTGGGGTACTACACCTACAACGGCACAACAGCTACAGAGCATACAGGAGAAGTACGGCAACGGCGGACACATGCCGATGCACCCGGCGATGGCTGGGACAAATGGTTGGGGCCAATAGAACGGGCAACACAACTTGTCGAACAAATTTGAAGTCTTGGACTGTACGCCTCGGTGTAGTCTTGTGTGAACATTGGAGAAAGAGTTGGGTCATCTACACACAAAAATTGGTCACGTGGATCAAAGCATTGCATGGGCAGGCGTTTATTATTCTCTACTCAACTGGGCGAGCTTCATGACTACATTATATGGACCTTAAGAAGTGTAGCGAAGGGTGGTTAGTTCGAGATATCGTTAATTGGGGTCAATGAGGGGTCTGGTCGGGCTTTTACCAGTCTCAGTCTCTGTGTGAGCGAGGCGTTGGATTTGATCGCGCCTTCGGGAGGCTTTTTATCAAAATTATAGCTGAGGACTTGCAGTCTCTTTTCTTAGATATCCTCGATGAATTGGATGTTTCATCTACTATGTTGCCCTTCGCTATGATGTGCTTTGGGGTTGTTGACTGTGTGAACCTCACTTGCTACGAGAAAGAATCGCTTATGTTGAAGAGCTACAGGGTTGTATGATATGTACCACAGTGAATGTTCGGTTCCCTTCCTAGCTTCTGCATGCAGTATTGTCTGTCAAAATCCGCTTGGGCGTTAGGTTTGGCTCACCGCCCCACTCAGCATCATGTTGGCGGCCGAAGTAACAACGTCACGCCTTCTGCCATTCATGCTTTCTTCCTTCCCCCATACATTCCATATACATATACCCATGGCACTGCATGTCTGAGTGTCGTGCTTCAGATCCTGGGGTGGCCTCTTGCTTCGTCGCCGATTGATGGCATCGATTCACAGTGCAGTCTTCGGAGTTTGCCAGATGCAAAATTCTAACTGGGGAGCAATGGTCAACAGAACTGCGGTTTGTACGCTCAGGAACGACTCCGGGACCAAGCTTGTCGTTAGGTCGATAGTCTCCTACACGTTGTCGAAATCGCTGTCAAGAGTTGGATGCAAAACAGGTCGCAAAAATACTTGGGCAGATAATTTGGCGTCATACACCCTGTGGTGGTCTGCAGCCATTGCTCACTGCGCACATTTGGCAAATGCGTATCTGTCTTCATGTCTGTGTTAAAAAGAGTCGTTGTTAGTTTTTGTTTTTTATGTTTTCGATAATAGGGCTCCATTGAGTATGTGTTCTCCGTGGGTCATCCGTCTTCTTGCAGAATTTGGGGGGTACACGTCTTGTGGGAACGTCTCTCCAGATTTCCAATTCGGATACCGTTGAGATCGATATGGTATCTGCTCCTCGCTCTACTGGCTTGCGAGGTGTTCTTTATACCACTGGTCATAAGCTTCCCAATCCCTTCTGTCCATCACACATCTGCCCATATTGCTCCACAGTCTGTTATCCTATGACTCCTGGGTCGTCTCTCACCAGGCCCAAAAAGGCGGTCATCTTATGCCCAGCACCACATCAACAGGGCCACAACATCACGATTCTCACCTCGTCTACAAACACCAGACCCACTGAAACCTCATCTCTCACCTGTACGTAGCTCCGATGTATCGCCCGAGCCTCACGAGCTAGCGTGTAGCGTAGTGTGCCTATCCATATAAGCCTGCTCCTCCACAGCCTCAACAGTCTTTCCTTTCTTACACCACAACGACAACCACTAACTCTTCCTTTGCTATCTTGACAATCTTCCCAAAGGAATAAGCCTTCTATTCTCTACAAGCCTTTTCTACTCTACAAGCATCGAGTATACCTTCCTCAACAATCAGAGCTGGTCTCAAGATCCTCACTGCAGACAGTTCAGTCAACACCACTGCAGGCAGTCCTCCGCTCTCGTCATCTTTGAGTAAGTTTCTGACCAAACATTCTCCCTTGTTCCTCGTCAGTGGCACTGCACGACTAGAGCACCGTTGCGGATTCTACATCACGTTGAGTTCCTGGTACCTGCCGTGCAGTCACCGCTCTTACCAGCGTGGTCACCACAGCAATCTCATCGCTCTTGCTCCTTTTGTTTTGACGTTATTTCATGACCCCACCTTGGCATCGTTTTGAACCTCTCCATAACATTACCCACCTCACCTTTTGTTTCTCGTCCACTCCATTCCATCATCAACGACACTGCACCTTTTGTATGCCAGCCTCTCCCATGCTCTGTCGTCCTCCTCTTTTCGTTCCACCATCTTCCTTGGAGCACATAGATGCTCAACTTCTACTTTTAAACTTGACTGACTTGCTTCAGGCCCGATCTACGATCCGGTTCAAACGCTCACGCCCTCAACGCAAGTACCTCACGCGGCTCCGATTTGAGATCAAGGTACGTATCCCTGTCATCGCACAAGCCTCATATCGCGATCGTCACTGCTATCAAACGCTTCTTCGTTACCGAACACCGCTAACGTGGCTTCTATAGTCCGCAGTCTGCAATGGCCGGTCCAGCAAAGAAGCGCGCGCAGGCCGAGAAGCAGTCCAACGGTTCGTCCAATGGCTCGTCTTCTCAGTCTCGCGATCCTACTCAGCGTTCCGCCCCAAAGTCCATTCCCCGTCTTGACGGTAACCGGGATCCCAATGTTCGCGCTCCCGTCGAATACACCGATCTCCGAGACCTCAAGAACATCTCCGACTTCCTTGGTATGGCCGGTTGGTATCAGGCCCGTGGCGTAAGTACAAACACTCCTCTGTCCTAGCCTGCATGTGCATCATGCATATAGCCACCAAACAAACACATCTCTCATCTCCACATTGTCGAGTATGCAAATAGCTTCGGGCTCGCATCCTACCACTGTTTGTACGGTCGCGCAACCTGAGCTGTGAGCATAAGAGACTTTTATCCTTATCGCTTGGAGTTTTCCTGTCTTTGCCCTGATCCTTCTCTTTCCAAAACATTATTTAGATTCAATCATTCTCTTGTCTCGAAATTCCCTTTCATACATCTATAGCTTTCTACTCCCTTCGTTTCCTATATTCATCATGATTGGCCAAAAAGCTCCTCCCCGTCGTTTCTACCAAGATACTTCCCTTTACACCCCGAGGCACGACAACCTTATCTTTGCTAACGATCACAAGATTACCATTCCGGGTTCTCTTCCTCAGCGCCCAAAGAACTTCAACCAGTTCGGAAAGGCTGCCAACATCATGCTCAATACCTTCAACGTCATCAAAGCTCCAAATACAGTGGTCCACCAGTATGATGTAAGTTTTCTTCTCCCTCAATCTTAACATAGTGCTAACTTCTCCAAGCTCAACTACAGCGGTGATGCTCTCGACTACTCCAAACGCGTCCTGCTGAAGAAAATCTGGAACTCCCGAGGTGTCAAGTCTGAGCTTGGTGAGCCCAACAACCTCTGGGTCTGGGACACCAACAAGCTGGCATGGTCCGGCAAGCGCCTGCCTCGTGACGATACTCGCATTACTGTCGATCTTGACGAAGAAGAAGGCCGTCCCACCAAGCCAGGTGCGCGTGGCAACAAGCATACCATTCATGTCCGCTGGACACGCCAAGTTGACTTCATTGGTCTGAACGCGTTCCTCAACGGTCAAGCCTCTTGGTCCGCCGAATGCATCGACACTATCAACTTCCTCGATCACGTTATGCGCGAGTGGCCCTCTCAACAATACACCCAGATCAAGAAGTCCTTCTTCCAGCGCGGAGAGGTTCGCTTCGACCTTGGCGGCGGTGTTGAGGCTTTCAAGGGTGTATTTGCCTCTCTCCGTCCCGTCTTGGATGATAAGTTCAACAAATCCTTGTCTGTCAACGTGGACGTCTCCAATGGTACCTTCTGGCGTGCTCAAGAGCTCACTCGCGCCATCGGCCAGGTCTTCAACTGCAGCCCACCTCAGTTTGCGGCCATGTACAAGAACGCTCTTCGCGACTGGAAAGGTTCTGTGCTCAAGAAGGACCTCCGTAAGTTCAAGAAGGTCGGAGTATCTACCACCCATACCAAGGAACCTACACAATGGTAAGAGCTCTGCTTTGCGAATCCACGGCAGACGCATACTAACTTCGAACTCCAGGACCATCGATGAATTCGTCGACAAGGATGCTTCTACAGCCACTTTTCCCGATCCAGATGACCGCTCCAAGAAGATCTCTGTGGCCCAGTACTTCAAGAAGAAGTATGGTGTCACTTGTATGGCTGGAGTTCCTGTGGTTAGCAACGGTTCTGTACTAAATGGAAAAAGATATGTACTGACATCAAACCAGGTCAAGATGACTAAGAAGATCCGCAAGGAGCCTGTCTATATGCCTATCGACGTCTTGAAGATCGACGGAAACCAGCGATATACCACCAAGCTGAGCGACACCCAGACGTCCAACATGATCAAGTTCGCTGTTACCCTTCCCAAGGAGCGCTGGGCTGCTGTTCAAGCCGGCGTTCGACTTCTCAATTGGCAGTCTGATCCCTATCTCCGCCATTATGGCCTGAAGGTTAGCCCGGAAGCCGCCAAAGTGCAAGCTCGTATCCTTCCCTCACCCACTGTCCACTTCGGTCCTGGATCCAAGGAGGCTACCATCAAGCCTGCAGACATGATCGCAGGTCGTTGGAGGCTCGATGGAGTAAGTAGCGCGAACCCCTTCAGGTACTACTTTGAGTAAGACAGTTTACTGACGACCTGTTTAGCGCAAGTTCATCATGAACAACAAAGAGCGCCCAATCAAGGCATGGGGTGTGTGCTGCGTCCAAGGCCGCGGCAGCCCTCCTCCTCAGGCAATCGAGGCTTTCTTTCAGAAGTTTGTGCAGATTTACGAAGCTCATGGTGGTCTTGTTGCCTCCCACCCTCAGCATGGCAAGAAGCCGTGGATGGGTCCTGGTAACCTTGCAGACGGTGGTGAGATGATCCAGAAGGTTTGGATCCAGACTGGTAACAAGTATGCGATGCCGCCTAACCTGCTCTTCTTCGTCGTCAACGACCGCAACGTCGACGTATACCGGCGTATCAAGAAGTCTTGCGACATCCGCTTTGGTGTAGCTTCTCAGGTCCTCCAGGCTAAGCACGTCATGTCAGCTTCACCGCAGTACATTTCCAACGTCTGCATGAAGGTCAACGCTAAGCTTGGAGGTGCCACGAGCGTTGCGAAGTCTCAGCTTATCCCTAAGGTCGCTCCGAAGTCGGCTTCAATCCCGACAATGGGTAAGTGATATCCCAGTACTAAACGCCCGTGAGATAAATACTGACATCGCAAATCATGTAGTTGTTGGCGCTGATGTCTCTCACCCTGCTCCTGGAGCCGGCTCAGGTGAGGCTGCATCCTTCGCCGCTATTACCGTATCTGCCGATGTTCACTTTGCTCGATACTGGGCTGAGGTTCAGACCAATGGAAACCGTGTCGAGATGGTGACCACATCCAACATCGACCAGCACTTTGGATTCATGGCCAAGAACTGGATGCAGAAGATTGGTCAGGGCAAGGCTCCTCAGCGTGTACTTTTCATCCGTGACGGTGTCTCAGGTATACCACCCTTTCCATTACCATTTTTCATAGCTAACATCCATCAGAGGGACAGTATGCAGCCGTTCTCGAGGAGGAAGTCCACGATATGAAGGAATGCTTCAAGAAGCTGGGTTGCAAGGAAATTCCCAAGTTCACTGTCGTCATCGCCGGCAAGCGACACCACGTTCGCTTCTTCCCTGAGACCGGAAAAGGGGACAGGAACGGCAACCCTCTTCCTGGTACTTTGGTAGAGTCCGGCTGCACCCATCCCTTCGAGTTCGATTTCTACCTTTGCTCCCACGTCGCCATCAAAGGCACGGCTCGCCCAATTCACTACCAGGTACGTCATATTCCTAATAGCTCGTCAACACCCACCATTGCTCCTCAATACTAACAAGTTTACCAGTGCATTCTCAACGAGGGTGAGTGGCTGTCTGCCGAGCTTCAGCAGTTCATCTTCGAGCACTCATACCACTATGTCCGCTCTACTACTCCTGTTTCTCTCCACCCCGCTGTCTACTATGCCCACTTGGCCGCCGACCGCTCCCGAGCACATTCAAACGACAACCCAGTCTCCTCCGGCAAGAAGGAGTCCAAGGTAGACCAGCAGTCCTCCACTGGCTCATCCAAGCAGAACTTCGAGATCGCTCCTCTGATGGAGATGCAGAACGCTCGCGGCCTCAAGGATGTCATGTGGTACATCTAGAGTACGAAGGAGGTTCGATCTGGTGGGTCTCGCTGGATAGCACGATCTGATGCCATGCAAATCAGACTGCTTCAAAACACAAGAGAGTCAGTTGCGACGATGGCCTGAATTCTTTCGGGGTGCATCAAAAGTTAGTGATCTGGGTATTCTTTTCAATCTTCTTGTGCGATACCCAACTTTTACGGTTCTGCCAGGTTTTCAGGACATAGGATAGTTTGCCTCTCCCATCATCGGTAGGGCAGAATGAAAACGGTCAGATTATAGCTTGCTGCTTTTGTGCTTTGTGATGTTGCGCCTGAACCCTCGGCCTCCTTGCATCTGTTGACATACTCCAGAACTCGACAGCAACATCAGTGGAACCCAGATTCTGGCTTATTGGGGCCCATTAGCTTCGTTGGGTGTCCAAAGCCCTGGCTGTCGCAGAACTCGGTCCGGTATCTACCTTGTTCTCTAGGCCCATGACCCAAACACTTAGCTTTCTCCTGCTCTGGCTAGCATATCTTGGGCGCGACGGTATCAGAGCGACGGTCTTGACAATCCGAAGGAAGACGCTGACTCTGAAGAAACTGAGATCCAGTCTGGTTAGCCGTGAATTTGCCGAAGCGACCGTGGGCCTTGGAGCGTTTTCCATGCATGGAACCCTTCGCAGCCGATCGCTTGGATTCGGTATAGACTGTTCTGTTGAGTATAGCTGCAGTGCGTTCAGAGTCAGGGGCCCCATCTTTGTTGATTTTATCGAAGGTCGGAGATAGTTGGCGGAGCTGGTCAAATGAACACATGAATGCGAAGTTGAGGAAGGAAAGAGCAAGTGATTAGCTAGAGTCAAGCCGTGTGTTTTGCTAGACTCTGAAACTGTGGGAAATGCATCATTGACAAAAAGTGAATCGGTAGTCCATGTGCAGTAGGGGTTTCTACCTTGTACGTTGGATGGGAATGGAGTAGATATGGATACAAAGCAACGGCCTGGGAAGCCATCGGCTAGCTTTTTCAAGGATTTGAAAAACCCCGAGAAGCGTCATAGATTTCTTAGCAGGACACAGACAACATCCTGAGTGGAAGCAAGCATGCCTTAAGGGTTTAGGAGATGATGCTGACATGATCTTGATAGCTCGCCCAGGTTGTGCATCGTGAGATCATCATCAGGAAACTTTTCGCGCGGAACGCCGACTAGCAACACTGCTAGCTTTCCATTACAGCTTCAGCAAATGCGGAAAGCCGATGTTAAGCTCTCTATACACTTCCGTCGCAAGCGCAGCATCACATGCAAGCAAAAGTATGTACCGTCCAATATATTTACCTTCGCTCCACCAGCGCAGAGCGCAGAAGAGAAGGGGGTAAGCGAACGCATGATCATTCTAACCTCCATTTTCCCCTCCAAATCTCCATTGAGGTGGAAGACACAGAGTGAATAATGGGGTATTCAGTTTTAATGAACAGAAGAGGATGGCGCGACGCGTTGGTTTTGATGGCTGCAAAGATTTTGGATGACTAAGGGGCGCTTGTATGGAAGGGGTTAGTGTAGGAGCATGGGTCAGCTGAGCGAATCAAGAATGGCGCGTTGGGTGTGACGAGGATGGTGGGGCAGGGGATTTTGGGCGAGGGCGCGGGGTTTTGTCGTTGGCCTGTGGGAGTGAGTCTTCTGGAACAAAAGAATCAGATTGAGTTCTTGGATACAAAAGGTGAATAAAGAGTCTCTCTGTATTGTAAAACGTGGAGTGGGAGGCTAACGAGCCGTGGTTTGACAGACTCATACTTCCACGACTAGATCACTCGCCCTTGTGAACGATCCTTACACGAGCGCACTTAACCCGCTCTCCGCCAAAGACTCCTCCCGCTCGGAATCTCAAGAGAAGAACCACAGGCTCGACCGCAAACTCAGTCGCCCCTACTATCCCAAATACTCTCGACTGCGCATACGGGTCCCACCTGCGAACCGTCTCGACACACAATACCCTGCACTTGCACACAAAGAACTCAAACACACAACATGTCTTCAGCAGGACGTGGCCGCGGCGGCAAGTTCAACAAGGTCAAGCGCGGAGGCGGCAAGAAGTTCTCGCGCGACCTACAACCGCTGAATGCAGATGGCGAGGTCGTCGGCATGTGGGGTGTGAGTACCTACTGTACCTTGAGTATACAATCGTCTTCTAACACAGAACTGCAGGACCAACCCGACAAAGTCGACGAGGAGTCCTCTGAAGAAGAAGAATCTTCCGAGGAAGAGTCCGGCGAGGAGGCTGGCAAGCCCGAACAAGAAGAGTTGACGCGTGAGCAGCGCCGTGAACTCGCAAAGAAGCGCAAGGCGGCCGCGATTGCGAAGAAGTCACAGAAGACCCCCGAGGCAGGCGACATGCCCACCGACTCCTCTGAGGACGAAGACGATGATATGCCCGCGAACCCAAATCACACTGCAAAAGCCCGTACACAAGCCACAAAGGCCCCTGTCGATCCAGAAGCTGAGCCCATCGCTAAGGGAAAGGGAAAGCAACAGGACCTCTCCCAGCTCTCCCGCCGCGAGCGTGAGGCTCTCCAGGCGCAAGCCAACAAAGATCGATACGACAAACTACACGCTGAGGGCAAGACTGAGCAGGCGCGAGCCGATCTGGAGCGCTTGAAGCTGGTTCGTGAGCGCAGGGACGCTGAGGCTGCGCGAAAGAAGGCTGAGGCAGAAGAGCGTGCTGAGCTGGAGAAGGAGAAGAAGGAGCTCATGGAGCGTGAGAACAGGCGGCGAGAGCAGGCCAAGGGCAAGGCCGAACGTCTTGCTAAGGGCGGCAAGAAGAAGGCCTAGATCTGACACTTGTTGTTAGACATGGGGCTTTCGTGATGTTGCAAGTCAGTTCTGCGGCGCCGGATCACCAGTGCACATGTGCGAACGCGTCTGGCCTCCATGCTGACGGACTGCATGCTCCGCGAATGACTATCTTGCTCCGAGCAGGTAATAAATGCTCATGATGGGTTGATGAAAGCAGTCAGAAGACAACGTGGCGACCACCACGCGACATACCGCATGGTTCGAAGAATAGACGAATATGACCCAGAGTTTACGAACCAGAACTCCTTTTTGCTGCTTCATGCCTGATGTACTGTGGATCACAATCTAACGCATCGCCTACAGCGAACCACAACATCTCATCGTCAAGCGACCTCCATATGGCATGGCATCTCGAAGCTTCGACGGCAAATACGAGTTCGTGTGGGAGCCATGAGCCCCCACGACGCCCTTATGCTCCCCGCCAGTTAGTGCCTCGCCTCGCGAACGCGAAAGTTCACGACTTCGTCATCACTCGCTCCACTATATATGAACATCGCCATGGCGCCACTGATGTTTTCCATTATGCGCATACACTTCCAGAGCCTTTGGCCTATTTGCGCATCGTATTGCGAGTCTATTCAACATGGCTGAACCGATCCCTGCTGGGGAGCAATCTAACTACGAGACCTTCCGCGACTGCATGAGCGAACCTATCATCAAAGCTCTGGCTGCACCAATTGAGAACCCGAGACCGAAGAAGAAGAGACATGCGAAGAAAGGTTCAAAGAGCGGGAAGAATGAAGTCATGAAGCCGGAGTCTACAGAGGCGAATACCGATGGAAGCGAAAAAGGAACAGATGCCGAAGACTTGGGCGAATTCATCGAAGTATGCCAGCAGCACATACTTACGCATTTGGAACCTCACTGACTGACAATACAGTATCTGAGCACCCTAATCTTCCCATCTCTACCTCACGAACTGCGCACACTTACGCACTCCATCTTCAAAGACTCGCCCAACCTCCAAGACCTCTACACAACCCCCCTTTCAGCCTCAACATATACGAACCTCCTCCAACACATTCCACCTACCGCAATCGACAGCCTAGAGAGCTACGGCCTCCTTCCACCTACTTCCGACAGCATCGATCAACACAACCTGCTCACACCTCTCCTCACAACGTACATCTCTGCCGTCACCGCGCCACCACCCATATGGAGCAGCACGCGTGCTACAGCATGTGAACTTTGCGGCAGGGACTGGGTGCCGTTGACATACCACCATCTTATTCCAAAAGCAGCGCATGCGCGCGTGAGGAAGAGGGGTTGGCATACAGAAGATAAGCTGAACAGCGTGGCGTGGTTATGCAGGGCTTGTCACAGTTTTGTGCACAGGTTAGCTGGAAATGAAGAATTGGCCAAGAGCTTTTATACGGTTGACCTGATACAGGTGGGCGGTGTGGAGGAGGATGTGGAGAAGAGGGAGAGTGTTGAGGGATGGGTCAAGTGGGTTGGAGGGGTTCGGTGGAAGAGTAGGTAGGGGATGGTAAGTGAGAAAGTCTGTACTTGGGTTGGACGTGGCGTGACGTCTTGGTATGGGTATTACGATGCTATGGATGGATTTTTTTTCCATCGTCTTTGCTTGATACAGAAGCCTTGCTTTGGGATATGCATATCGTAGGACGTAGACACTCGCTTCTCGATGTTCTGCCTCCATATTCAAACTCTATCGTCTGACATTATTCAGCACCTTTTCTTTCTTCTCTTTTCCATCACCAGTGTGTCGGCACGTCAATCTCCTACATGTTATACTAATCGACCCAAGGGTGCTTCTAGTCTAGTGGTCGCGCTCACGCGCTTGATCAATAATACTAATCGACCATGCTACGATCATCCCTCTACCCTGTCTTTTGCCCAACGCTCTGCCTTGTCTTTTCCTCGGTCGTCACCGCCGTTACATCATCTATCGCCACAACGGATCCTCATGAGGACACCGTGCTGCACTACTTCACTCTTGGAACCATTGTTGCGACGCCCATGGAGTATACTTGTGGGTGCCACATAGACTAGGTTGTCGAGGTAAAAAAGATTGAGAAGACGAAGAAGCAATGAGAACAGGAGGAAGTGATGTCATGTTGTGGTAATAGTAGTATTAATTCATTCGTCAGGAGCTCAGTTGACCAACTGAACTCAGGGTATATATGCACGCTAAAATGTGGATATACTACGGGTATCCGCCCTCAAAACGCCAATTCCGATATGCAAGTCATCCAAACGGCCTGCCGCCGATCGCGGCCTCATAAATGTTATACATATCACCGTCATAACGGTGCGTCATCGAGAAAACCCTTCTCGACTTCGTCGGCAAACACGGGATATGAACGCCAGCGTTCTCCCGTCTTGTTCTCCCTCTTCCTCGCTTCGAGACTTGCACGGACGTGTGTAAGGAAAGCCTCAGTGCTTGGATCACTTGGTGTGCGGCGGAGTTCGCATGGCACACTTGATGCATTAGCCATGCTTGGTGTTGGCGCCGTGGTGGTGGAAGAAGTGGTTGCCGAAGCCTTGGTCTTCCGTTCCACTGTGCATATCCTCTTCCTTGCAGATTCTCTGAATCTCTTGAAAGGATCCTCGACTTTGGTGTCGAGCTTCTCGAGCTTCTCTAGCTTATGCAGCATCTGAACCTCATCACGGACCCATTTTGGTGTCCATTCACCAGCAGGGAAGGATTTCCGTCGTTGAGAGGTGGCCAGGTGATCGTGATATGTGTCGCTGCTTAAGCGAAGCTCGAACTCACTTGCCGGGCTTCTGCGTACAGGAGCAGGAATCACAATCGGCTCCGGCACGATGGGAACGGGTTTGCTGGTGAAGTCAACGAGTTGGCCTGGGTGCACTTCACCCGTGCTGTCGCATCGCGACAAGACTATTGGCGTGTTTTCAGGTCCCGAAATCTTGATGCTCTTGTTGGGTGAGAATACCGCCTCTGCATCTGATACTCTTGAATCGATTCTCTGTCTCTTGGAGCTTTGCTCTACCTCTGATCTCGGGGAGCCTGATGCCGATGATATGGATGTTCGCGGACTGATGTCAGGCGAGTGGTCTTGACTCTTTCGTCGAGACCCGAAGCCAAAGCTGAAGTTCATGTTGAAGATTTGGCTTGCTCGACGACGGCGTCTCTTCTTGAGGTTCGGAAATGACCACGGAGCAGCATTTGCTGGTTTCGATGCCATAGCCATGGGGGCGGACTGAAGCAGTAGTGATGGGAGTGGTCTGCTTGTGACCTCCATGTTGAAGGCGTTTGGTATCGCAGGTGTGAGTGGTGTGAAGGGTGTGAAGGGTGTGAAGAATTGCAAGTTGTTGTGGTTATGTCCTTGGTTGGTGTACCTTGGTAAAGGTAATGTACGATTTGTCTTCTCTGTTGGAGGATAATATGGTTGCAAATTTCGTGCTACCTCTTTCGCGGCGGTTGTCTCACTTGATAAGTAGGCGTCTCGTGTGAATGCATAGAACAAGTCATCTTGCAGGCCCTGTTCACGAGGCGCTGGTCGTGGGAGACGTGGGTCTGGCGCGAAATGCGAGGCCAGCAAAGTGTTGGTCGATGTTTGCTGCACGGGGAAATTCGGAAAAGGGCTGGTTTGCGACAGCCATGGGGGCGTGGTGCAGTCATATGGTGTTGGCACGAACATTTGACTTGTGCTGGCGTGGGTGTGGTCGCGTGCCCAGGCTGCGGATGTGGCTCCGATTTTTTCCCGATTGCGGATTGGAGTTGCGGTGTGGACCTGAAAGCCTCCTCTAGACATGTGTTTGTGATTTGATGGTGCTCGGCTATTGGGCCCGGGGTGCAGAGGGTGTGCTGGAGTACACCGGTGTATGCTTAAAGATCGTCGCTTTGGTGGTAGCCGCGGTAGCCTGGGATAACAATTCGTTGTGCTCTTGACCGCTGAAGTCGGTTTCAGGTTATATACCGCCTTTTCTGCATCAACGCATCTGCGCAAGTTCGCCGACAACAAGACTCACCGCACCGGTACGCTTGCACGTGCACCACCTCTCAACCGGTGCATTACATGCCTCGACACTTACAGCCCCGGATATTCCAAAAAAGATGGAAAAAAAGAACCTACCCCTACGTCCTGTCATCATACATCACCTCTACACCTCATGCCACCGTACCTGTGGGTCCACCACCACCACTTTGCCAGCGGTACAACCAACAGCACACCGCACATCGTGACCAGGTCCCACGTCTTTTCGCAACACTAGTTTATGACGGTGTGTTGCTGGTGAAGCAGATCGCTGGTTGGCTGCGGGGGCGCGACGTGCCGTTCAGCTTTCCGTGGGTGAGTTGTGTGTCGGAATGTGGGTGAACCGTGGGCGGATGTGAGCGAGATCGCCAACTAGCGTGGTTTGGCATTGCGTACAGGGTCCATGACAGATCTCAGGGCATCTAGATCTGGACATATTAGCGCGCCATGCGAACGATCGCGGAGAACAGCATCAAAAGAAATCTGAGAACTGAGAGTTGTTATAGAAACTCCGGAGATACACGAGACACGTGCTGATCTCTCCGTCTTTTGCACCAAGATCTGTCCATCTCGCCGAACGGGACTGGGTACCAGTAGCTCTGCTCCCTGAGCATAGCCACGAGCTAAGATCTAAGGACATCGTGTATAGCGCTCAGCTGAGTGAGCTCTCTGCTCTGGAATCATACGGCCATCACAAGCGGATGATGCCTTGTCCAAACGTCAGAAGTCAAATCATCGTACCACAAGGAGATCAGGAAAAACAGAACATAGCGAATTTTGATGACCATCTGGATCTGCAGTGCAGGTTTGGTGACGCACGATACCCATATTATGTGATAGAAACGGCTTTTGAGAGTTTGGGCGACAACTACATCTACGTCTTGTTGTAGATCAACATACGTAGCTACACAAGCAGATGTGCGCATTACGATTACCCTCCGCTCGTTCAACACTCAAGTTATACTTTGTTTATTTGCCCGAGGTAATACAATCAATAGCACGTCCCTTCTGCTAAAGACAGTCTGCTCAAGCTTAGAGTAAAATGTACTGCACAGCCACAATGTCGGATTCTAAAGCTCCCATCTGCCGTACCCATAACTTATCTCTTAATGAGTTCCTTCTTCGTCCTTCTCTCCAGCTCCATAGCACCGATGATCGCACAACCAAGTCCACTCCCATCCTCGGCACTAGTAATGGCGATCGGACCTTCGCCCTCCCCACATTCCTCCTCCTTCCACCCTAGCACCTCACCCAAAGCTTTAGTCCATCTTCTCTTGAACTTTGGATGTTTGTTTGCTACACTGCCGTCTGCAGCCACATGGCCCTTCTTGATATCTTCTTTGGTGCAGATGGCAGCAACACCACAAGCGCATAATCTGGCACCGCGCACAGCGATCATCTCAGCCAGTCGACGTGAGAGTTCAATCTCAACGTCTGATGGCTGGAGGGAGAGTATAGACTGGAAGAGTTCGTGTGTTTTGGTGAACTTATGTGACTCGTCGTCCTCGATCTGAGAGAGGAACCCCGTGTCTATGATGTATGGCTCACGCAGCTTTCTCGTATCTTGATTTGAATCCTGGTTGAAGACAAGGCCGCGATCTAGGAGTTCGACTAGTATGAGGCGGAATATTTCACCTAGATACAAACCAGCGGAGAGTTTCTCAAAAGTTTGCTCGCCAGGCCGAGGGCTTTCTGCATCGATCTTCTTGTCGTATTTCGTGCGAGGGAGGACACGGTGCGAGTTGTCAAAAGCGCCGTATTCGCAGTTGATGGCCATTTTCTCTTCGCCCTTGACCGCTCCATTATGGGATGATGCGTCTGTGATTCTTTCGTCGTTTGGATCTAGTTTTGCGATACTTGATAGGCTAGCCATAAACCTAACAGCGGCGTGTACGAAGTTAGTGTATGTCTGATATGAATTCCGTGCAGGGACAGTTCTTACGCTGCATTACATCCTGTACCAAAGATGCCGCCTATTATGGTCTCTGGGTCGTTGTAGGCAGACGCGATCATCGCACCGACAGTGTCGTTAATGACGCAGATTAAGTCGACTGGCAGCTTTCTCTCTTGCAGCTTTTCTCGAAGCTGCTTCGCAGCATCCTGGCCCTCTACACCCTTTATATCAAACCCTTTTGTCCACGTCTGCAAGACTGCGTGGTCGATACGATCTTGCGTTGCTGGATAACTGAAAGTAAATCCCAGTGGCATAGGCTTCTGCGTGTTATACTGCTGGTCCAATTTATGATCCTTGAAGAAAGCCTCCACTTTTTCCGCAATGAAATTCCAGAGAGCATCGGACTCTCCCTTTTTCAGCTTCTCCGGTAACTTGTATTGTTCTTGCTCCATGCCGTATTTGCCGTCTCCTTGTTTTCGGCCTTCATCTCCATACAAGTCTACTTTGCAAACCCTCAAATTTGTGCCACCGAGATCCAGTGTCATTATTGTACCCTTCTCTTTCCCTGTTGGTAGATTGTGCACCCAAGTGACGTTCATGGGAATATTTTGCTTGTCTTTAGCGAGACCTTCTTCCAGTTCTTCACAAAAGCGGCTAACAATCTCCTCGAGTTTGGTTCTTGGGATCCAGAATTGATTGTCAAGACGCGCGAGTTCGTCGTCCAGAGCCTGGGGTAGATCGGCCATCTTCTCGAGTTCGGAGCGTTGCCGCCATGATGTACATGATTCTTCGTCTATGCGTTGGCCTGCTGAAGAAGACATGGTGTAAATGGGGTATCTGAGTAACAAGGACAGGGAAACAACAATAGCTTGTCAACAATTTGGACGATTCAATCCCGATACAAAGCGTGGCGTGAAATTTCTATTACTTGTTTTGAGGTTCATATTTACTATGGTCGACATGATGACATCACACGACGCTTACCACGGTTTAAACTCCTGATTCAAACAGTAACCGCAGTTGTGGCAGATCCTATCACTCCGAGGAGCCTCTTTTGTCTGAATGACGTCCGGCTGGATATCAGAAGGGGGGAACAGAGAGGGAGCCGCGTGGGTTCTTGCCAAAGCCTCGGGCCGAGAACCGGCGTACCTCGTGTTGTTGAGTGGGCCGTGGGCTAGGGTCGACGAAGCCTAGCGAAAACAAACGAGATGTATTGAGATGTAGATAAGATGCTAATGTGATGACTGATGTGTTCGCGCGTCGTTTACGCAGCGCCCATGGTATCGAATGGAATCCGTAACTCCGTGTCTAATGCAATGTACCCGTCTTGAATCAGACATAAGAAATAAAAGTGGCTGCAGATGCAGCAGGTGAGTGTTGAAACGCTAGTCGCGTTGTGGGCCTTGTTGAACGAGTCCAGAGTGTTCCAAGGTCGGTTTGCAGCGGATGTAGCCTACGCAGCGCATTTTTGCTCGAACAGACCATGCTCAAGCCTTTGTGTTGTTCGCATGCTTGCTGGCGCGTCGTGCATGGCTGCATGCTCCATCTCCTCTTTAGCTGCAGCCCTTGTGTTTAGCAGACTGAGATACGTCTGCCAGCCAATAGCGATAACACCGCCAAATATGCTACGGTATTCGATAGGGATGTAGGTGAAGCTGAAGGCTGTGACGGCAGGCCAGAGTTTGCAGCTGTTATACCAGCTTGTCGGCACCGTATTCTTGATGCGTTCGAGGATCTCGGGCAGGGTTGCGCCGGAAAGAAGCGATTGCATGCCGAAGAAGTACGAGTTGAACAAGGGGGTGAAGAAAGCTTGGTTGATGAAGACCTGTTGGGTGATGAGCAAGCGTTGGCGATTACGGGGGAAGGGAACGCACCTTGATTGACAGCGAGAGTGTCTTTGAGCTGTAGTTGAAGCTGTTGGATAACCACAGGAACCACTTGTAGGATGGGATAGAGCTCAGTCCTCCAATTGCGAGAGCGCGTCCTGTACGGGCCCAGTCACGGTTGTCGCTCCATTCTTGGACCCAGCCCTTTTCCGCTGCATCGTCGACGACTTGCAGCACTTGGTTGGACTCGTCAGGCGCAATGCTCTGGGCCACTAGGTCGCCGATGAAATAGATGACGAGCGAGGATATGAGCTGTGTCCTGTAGGGCCTCCGCTGTTGCACGCGACCATATGCGCGGAAGGGTTCGATGATGGGGTCGAGCCAAAGCCAGCTTGGCCCGGGAATGGACCGCGCCGTTTCCGTCGGCCTGCCACCCGCGTGCGACTTGTCGAAATGGCATCTGCGAGTGACATTGGAAGGATGGACCTGAGTGCGTGCGCGTTCGAAGCCAGTTCCCGAGTTTGTGTTCCGGGAGTAAGGGGCGTTGGGCATGCGCCTCAAGCCAACACGAGTCCAGGCGCAGGAAGGAGCGATCATGATGGTGGTTTGCGGGCTCTCATGAGGTGGTGGGCGAGGGATATCAACGAGGCAGCGCAGAGCGAGGCATACTTTGTTGTGGTTTATGACTTGTCATCTCCGCACAGAGGCCCAGACGGTTGTCCGAGTGTCGGCGCGCGCAAATGATGAGATTCAGGGTCCAATTGCGCAAATAACCGCCTTAGTCACCCATGGCATTCGACAGCGTCACTGCACGGACCCAGGTACACATGCGTGTTGAGAGTGCACGCCAAATACACGTGGCGCAGCTGACGTCTACGCTCCATAAACCCTCATCACGACTGGCTCCATCTCGCTGCGTCTGGAAGCCCTTTCTGAAACAGCCTCGTGATGCTCTGCCCGTCGCCCCCGATGGTCCGTCTCCTCGTCAACAACAACAATCATCGCCCCGACATCGCCCCACACCCTATCGTGGACATGCAGCCCCCGTACCATGGTTGTGAGCTGTTCTTCCCACTGTTTATGCAACTCGTGCCTGTCCTGAAGGCCAGGACGTCGCTAGTGGGTCCCGATGCTGAGCCATGTCATCACTGTCTTCAACGTGCCGATGGTAACCACGCCTGATACCACCAAACCCTGCAGTCTGGCAACTCTGAGCCGAGCAGTCAGCCCGACTTTGTCCATACGCGTTAGAGTATGGAGCTCACGCTCGACTTCTGTTTCACGCGCATACATGCGCGGTTTGAAGTGCATCAGGCTTCCCTCCACCGTTGTAACTCTTGCAGACACTTGTCTTCTCCCTGGATGCGTATATTCCCCATCGCGTCTCCTTGGGAAAGCTCTAGCTTGTAAGTGGGCGAGTGGACAAGACTCTCGAGACGTGCGTCTTGAAGTCATGTCCATAGTGCCAATGTCTTGAGGGGAGGCCGGCATTGCTGGTGGATCAGGTCAAGAATTGGCTTGTCTCTCTAGCTTTTCCCCTTGGGCGCCCCTCGCGCCCCTTCGTCTGTTCAACGAGCTTCTTGCGGAAGCTTGTACCCTCAGCCCATGCGACTTCGGCTTCGTAGTGCGCTTAGCCACGCAATATCATCATACGACGGGTTCCCCAATAATGAAGCCTACGGGGCCTTTGCTTGTATAGTGGTCTTGATTCATTTTGACGAATTCGGAGCACATGCGAAGATGTTGTGTGTGTATGTTTGAGACGTGAAGTAATGATTGTAGAGTAGCTTGGCAGAACCAGCTATAAACCTACGCGAGGCTTTCAAGGCTGTTTGTTTACGCCACATCGGCACTAGATGGCATCAGCATGCTACCTTCTTCTGTGTTGATCAGAATGCTGTCAGGACAAGACACCACGAGAATTTAGTCAAAACAACAGTTTGCGTCAAAGCCGAAAAGGCAACGAATCCAATTCGTCGTGAGAATTACGTATATACACAAGAATTGAAGACAGGCGACGCTCAAGCCGCTCATTGCAGGAGACAAGCCCACTAAACACTAACAAAGCTCTACTCAAGAAAGGCCAAATGTACCCCTTGTCAATCATGAAAAACACCCGATGCAAACGGCATCTTTTTATGGCCCAGCAACGCCATCGTCAAGGACATGCACTTACAAGCACTGGGAGTACCAGTCGTTCTGCTTGACGCACTTGCAGCCGGAAGCGCAAGTAGTAGGACCTGTGAAGCCGATGCCACCGCACTGGCCGTACTTCTGAGCTCCAGCACCACCGGCGGTAGGAGCAGGCTTAGCGACGGTGGCAAGGGTAGTCTTGGCTGGGGTAGCAGCCTTGGTGGTAGTAGGGGTGGCAACCTTGGTAGGGGCAGGAGCAGCGACCTTGGTGGTGGTGGGAGCAGCGGGCGCAGGCTTAGCTGGGGCGGCAGCACCACCAGCACCGTTCCAGAGCTTGGGTCCTGGCATGGGGTAGCTAGAGTAGGAGCCGTAGAGGTTGAAGTGAACACCCGGGTCTTGGGCGCTGAGGTAGCCGGGAATAGCAACACCAGCAGGCAGCGCAGTGGTGCCAGAGCCACCGACCTTTACGTGAATGCACTCCTGGTAGAATTGTGCGCCACCGATGCGGTCACCCTCGTGTAGGGCAATAATCTCAGGGCGGATGATGTACTCGCCAGGTGCAACATTGGGCAGAGTGAACTCGTGCTGTCCTGGCTTGCCAGTGTATGAACCCTTGATGAGCTTCTCGACGGCCCAAGATTTGCCATCGTAGCCATCCTCAGCAATTTTCGTCCATGACATAGAAGAGCCAGCCTTAGACATGTAGACGGTGATAGGTCCCTTGTGAGAGGGGTCGATGATGTCGTCGCTGGCGTCAGCGTTGTTGTGGTGCCACTCGACCTAAGAGTATTCGTCAGTTCAAGTTCTATACAATGTGGACCGTTGGAGTACTTACAGCAATCTTGTCACCACCGTTGACGGCGACCGACTTGGAAGCCTTGATGTTGGCTACGTTGCACTCCATAGCCTTGGAGGTAACGTCGGTAACTGGGTTGTTGTTGGGAGGAGAGTCAATGTAGCCGCCCTGAACATTTCCGAGACCCTGAGACTTTCCGTTGACCGAGATGGAGTAGACAGTGGTGTGAGCACTGGCAGCGCCAGCGAGAGCGAGAGCGAAGATGGAGGCCTTCATTTTGGATGTGGAATTGAAGAGTTGATTGGTTGATTGAGTAGTTGTTCTTGTAAAAGGCGACTGTCTGAAGAGAGCGACGAAGTAAAGATCGAAGAAGTCAAGGACTGAAAAAGAACGTGTATAGAACGAGTGTGTTGAGCGTCAAGCGTGCCTTTCCAACCAACGTGGGCACCATGGGTTTTATACACGCAGAATCCTTCCGTATACGGAATCACGGGTCCCAAACATCGCCATCTCGCTTGGTGATTACATGTCAGTTCAGTGCCAGGACTAAAACAGCCACCAAGAACGTGTTGGCGGTTAGCCGTGCAGACAGACATCAGACTTCATCGTATCCTACACGACACTAGTGATGGGAAGAGGCTAGATCCGCCGTTAGAAGCACAGGGGCCGTTGGGGAGAAGGACGGCACGACAGTTGAAGCCAGAGCCTTACCGTTTGTAGGACGCAGGATTCAAGTGGCGGTGTTGAGACTATGTGCATACCCTGTGACGATCTGTTCTAGGTGCAGCATCTTGGGTTCTTGATTCAAGGAACCTGAAACATGAGCGAGGACATCCCTTGAGTTGATCTGGCGATGAACCCTTTTGGAGCCAGCCAACCCCGAGAGCCTCGGTATTTTCTTCTTCCCTACTCTTTTTAAAGTGACAATGGTCGTTGTGCGGCGGTATTCTGTCTGACCATCATGAGTAGGTGATGATGGTCAAGGCCCTATTTCACAGCCTTACAAAATCGTGGTAGAAGCGAGAGGTATTTTCGGAGACCCTCATTTCGGTTCAGTGGCTGAAAACGCCATGTATTACCGCCCAGGACAGCACTGAACAGCGGCGTCAAGATGTTCCGTCATACTGCAGACACCTGCGGAAGTGGAAATGAGCGAGGAGACGCGCATTGTCGCGCGGTGTCCGATGTTCATGTGAGCACAACTACCAAAACAAATTTGCTAGGTACGACGTGTAAGGAGATAGTAGTCTTCGCATAGTTCCGCTACTGTGACTATGATGATGATGATGCCTTATCAGACTTGTTATGATCCGTGGAAGGGATTGTGCTGATCCTTCGTCGCTGCACGGGCCCATGGACACTTTCCCAGTCCGCGGCTCCGTTGCTTGGCGTTCACAAAATCAATCTTGAGGACGGGACGATCACCCTGCCCAGAACACAAATATTTGGGATACTAGGTTGTGTGCGTTTCATGACAACTACATCATGCAAGCCTCCAATCAAGGCCATGAATTTCAATTGTTGATTAGGTGTGCCCACGCTCGTCTCATACAGTCACTTTCCATGTGGCCCACAATACGTGCTAAACGAGGACAAGAAGCAGAGTCAGGGGCATTATTGACAAACTAGGGCGTAGCGATGTTTCCGATCACTGCTCGTGTTTTGTGCATGTGTCAATCCTACAGAGCCAACATGCGGTCACGAAAGGTAATTAGATACAATCCAATAGGTAACTAGCCACCTTGGCATAGTGCATAGGTACTTCGTTGCCAAGGATTCGGAACAGAAACGTCCCTAACCAAGAGCTCGAACACACCAGCTTCACCAACTGGTTGTCTATCTAGTTGTTGCCAGAATCACACACACTCTTCCGATCGCTCTGGTGTCTTATTGACGCCTTGCTCAACACTATGCGAAACATTCGCCATTCCCTGCAGTACACGCATCGATCAAGCCATGCCAACAAAATCGTACGACATTTACGGATATGCAGCACAAAGAACAGTACAAGCGCGATCAACTGATTCTGCAAGAAAGTCTAGGAGAGAGACGTAAGGGGTAGAGCAAAGGGTAGTGAAAGTGTAGTAAGGTGCGGCTGCCCGCCTTGGCAAAGAGTGACACTTGAAGAAACAGTGTTCTTGCTCACCAATGTGCTTTCGAATTTTTTTGAACACCAGAAAAATGCCCATTCGAACGCTAAGGTGAGCAGATACATAGACGGAACAAATGTTTTGGTACCTGGATTCATCGGTGATCAGTATCTCATTCAGTTTTCCTTCTTAGGCATTGCCCATCAGCTCTCCATTTTTTCCTGGAATTGCAATCATCAGAGTAGAACGTCTTCTACAAATCTACTTTCTGATCTCGTACATCCTAGTAGCGGCTGCAGCCGCTCTTTTCGGCGATGGAAGCAAGGAACAAGTTGTCCACCTATCATTTCACGTACAGTACTCATTCGACACGACCCGCCAGGGATATCGGGCTAAGATTCCGTCGATTAGGTATATTCTGACAGAAACCATGCGTACTGTGTCTAGGAACCTCACTAATGCTAGCCAATAGTGTTGCATTATGCTTACCTTGCACCTGGACTATCCACATTTGGTCCAAGGTAGCGTGGCCGATGTTACAAGTAAAGAAGTTGTAGTCGGAAGTGCCTACGTTCTTAGATATGCTTCCGAGCTCTAGTATGATTCTGAGTAGGCTACGTTCCCGGGAAATGGCGACGGCAAATATTAAGATGACCGAGTTAATCTTCCGAGGCTGAAGTACGTGCGGAGACGAGAAACGCCAATGCGCACGACTACAACAGGTAAGCCCACGCTCTTCTCATTGGCGAGGTATATTGAGATCTCCGAAACGGTCCTACTTATGTCAGGTGTCTCTGGTGGCAAGGCTGGCCATGAGGTTGTTTATACTAGAGTTGACAGGATGATCTGTCGGAATCTAGGGACGGATCGCGCTTGACGAAGCACACGTTATATGAAGGTCCACTATGAGTAACCACCACCGTTTAAAGTCGAGTAACGGTGTTGTGAACAGTTGAGGCACTGCAATTTTGGGACTATAAAAGGTTTGGTGCTCCACACGAAGAGATAGATTTCAGAACAGCAAGAAACATCTCGAGCAAACGTTCAACCGCCAATCGCACACCATGAAGGCCGTTTCATTCATCCTCGGCGCACTCGCCTCCGTTGCCTTCGCACAACAGCACACGCTCTGCAAGGATTACGAATATTTCTCCAGCAACGGTTACGAGCTCAACAACAACATCTGGGGTCGCAGCGCTGCGACCTCAGGTTCGCAGTGTACCTACGTCGACAGCGTTTCCAGCACAGGCGCGAAATGGCACACGTACTGGCAGTGGACGGGCGGAAAGGACAACGTCAAATCCTACGTCTACTCTGGACGTCAGATCACCAAGAAGCCTGTTAGCCAGTACAGCAACTTAGAGACGGAGGCGTGTAAGTGTTATCAAACGAACTGCAGGTGAAACATATACTGATCTCGTACACCCACGTTTAGACTGGGTCTATGATACCAACAACATCCGCTGCAACGTTGCATACGATTTGTTCACTGCTGCGAACATCAACCACGACACCAGCAGTGGTGACTACGAGCTCATGGTCTGGCTCGCCAGATACGACGTCTATCCCATTGGTACTTCGCAGGGTATGGTGACAGTTGGTGAGTGTTCCTATACAAACTGCAAGTGAGACATACACTGACCTTGTACACCCAAATATAGCTGGTCGCACTTGGGAACTTTTCTACGGCCCTAACGGTTCCATGAAAGTCTACAGCTTCGTACCTTCTAGCCCTATCAACAACTTCAAGGCAAACCTCAAGGACTTCTTCACCTACCTCCAGAACAACAAAGGCTTTCCCGCGTCGAGCCAAAACCTCATCAGTAAGCTGCTCCCCGCATCCCTCTCGACATGACTATGATTGCATATGCTAACGCTTTGGCAGCTTACCAATTCGGTACTGAGGCTTTCACCGGTGGACCTGCAACGTGTGAGTGTCCCTGCATGAAATGCATGTGAAATTTAGACTGACTTCGTATACCCATATCTAGTCACTGTGAACCAGTGGTCTGCTAACGCTTGGTAAATGTTGAATGTATTAACATAACCAACGGTAAGCTGTTCACGACAACGACGATAGCTTTAGGGCGAGAGACAATCAGCAGTCTCGATGTGTGAGGCACTGGCACCTCTTTGAAAGTCCAGTTCTTTCTGTACATACTTAGGTGCATTGATTTTCAAAACGTATATATTCTCAACAAAAATTCCAACATCGAAGACGAGATTGTGAAGAGTGAAAGCCCTAGATCATATAAGGATGGGCTGCTACTTGCACTTACAAGGCCAGGAACAGGCTTATGGCGCCAGCCACAACGCCCCAACCTAGACTGCCCACCGTTGTCTTAAACGCACCACCAGTGAACTGTTGCGGCGCACTGCCGTTTCCACTCGCACTTTGTCCCGCAACAGCAATTGTGCTCTCGCTCTTCATCGTCACCTTTCCATCCCCACCCCTTAACTGGCCTCCACCACTAACACTGGAGGGATCCATTGTACTTCCCTGAACACAACCCATCGTGCCGTTTCCACGGAACATGCGATCAGCAACGCCCTTCCACACCTGGGTAACATCGGTAATCATCTTACCAGTGAACCACATTCTGCAATCGGCAGCTTCGTACATGAACTCCAGGGGAGTGGCACTAGCATCGTTCTGTCTCAGGTTGTCTTTGAGATTGACGCCGCCAGCGATACGTCCGCCTTGGTACGCAGATCGCCTGAAGAGTTGTGTGGCGAAAGCAGTCTTACCAAGATCCATGTTCATCCAGGCTTTTTGTTCATCGGGTGAGCCGAGGAAGTAGACGGCTTGCATGCGAATTTGAATATCGTCCCACGAGAAGACCTGAGCGCCCTTGGTGCCGCCTACACCTTGCATCGGACCAGTTTGAGGGCGTCCGCCAATGGCGATTGTACGGACTGCGCCTTGGTTCTTGAGTAGTTCGGAGACAATGGCGCATGTTGAGGAACACATCCCGTCGTGTAGCATGACCATATCTTGTGCTTGGAAGGGTTGTGGTGTGCTGGTTTCATTGGCGTTGTCGTTGTAGCCGATTACAGAGAAGCCATTATATGTTGTACTAATACTGTCCGAGAAGTTGTACCGAAGGGTTGTAGTAAAAGAATCGTTGTTCGCTTGCTGTGGACCAAAGAGTTGATTCCATCCAGTTGCGGCTTTATTATTGACATCGAGAATGTGCTGATAGTTGAACCCGGCTGTGAAACCAAAGATATCGTCTTGTGTAGCACCGCGACCAAACGCTTCCACAAAAGCGGTTTGGTTAGATTGTACGTACGTCTTGTTGGCGAGGAAGCTTTCGGTGATTTTACCAGCAGCGTTTAGAGCATCGTTTGCGCGGAAGCGTGTGCCGCCAAAGGGCTCTGCGGCTGCCTGTGGGTATACTTGCTTGAAAGTATCGTAGCCGAGAATCGCATTGCCTCCACCATTGCCTCGTAAATCAAAGACCATCTTCGTTTTACCCGCTTTTTGCGACATCCTTATGAAGTCCCGCATGGTGTTTTGGAAGCTCTGAACATTAGGAGATTCGTAGGACGGGATACTCAGAACGGCAACATCCTAAGGCGGTCAGACAGATAAGAGATGTGATGCGTGCAACTTACCTCGTATCCTGCGCCATTGAGATAGTAGCCTCCAACCGCGAGATTTGAGTTGATCAGCTCAGCCTTTGGATAACCAATATGCGAGGGACTCGGCGTAGCTGTGGGAGTCACAGTCCTTGTAGAGTTGCTAGTAGGTGAGGGAGCAGGAGCAGCAGAAACAGGCTTTGGCCCTGTACAGAACCTCTGAAAAAAGGCCTCACCGCTATCAACACCAGTAAAATTTCCAAAAACGACAGCGACATTCATACTCGACCAGGTAGTCCCGTTGGCAAACTCCATGGTTGTATTCGGACCCTGATATTGCCCAGTTCTGAAACTTCCAAGAAAGGTAGTACCAGATGCAAGAAGAGCCTGAGAAGGGAAAAGCGCATTCCATCGTGTGTCTGCATCGTGGAAATCAGAATCAGCAGACACGTTCGCCAGATAGCTCTGAGCGCTCATGCCGTTAATCATCTTGACCGGCGATGGCTTGAAGGAAGAATCGTTGTTGGCTTTCACAACATCTCTGTACGTATATATCTCTGGAAGTGCCACGCCATCCGAAGAAATAGAGACCAATTCCGATCCCGTGGGTCTTTGGAATTGCATCGCCGAAGCAAGAATATCGGGTTGATAAGCAAAGTGATTATCGTAAGCTTTGGTAAAGAGGTTCAGCATCTTCAGCTGGAAGTCGTATTCGGTCTTGAAGCCACCGGCGGCGACTTGTTTTTGCATCGTGTCCAGCTCGCCTATGATGTCGACAGGCTCTTCGGTGTATTCTTTTGGCGGGTTTTTGAGGTAAGCGACATTCGATTGCCATTTGACCATGACCTTCAGATCGTCGATCAACTTGACATTTCCTTCCTTGTCAAGAGGCACAGACTGCAGACATTTTACTCCCAACTCTGCAGGAACGACAGGTCGGGCCCCAGAGGGTAGAGCTGCTATGGCCATACTGACAACCGCACAAGGTTCTTGTCCAGGAGAAGCCGATGAGGGGGTCGACGAGTTCAGAGCACCTTCTGAACCCGAGGCGGTAGTACTGTTTTCAACTGCTGCTGCCATCATCAGGTCTACATCTGCTTGCGTCATGACCTCGTTCATATCAAGGTCAGGATAGTCCGGAACACCGTACATCCATGGGTGCGGATTTGCTGTTGAGAGGCCGCAAAAAGCGCCAAATAGTACGACGGACGAACGCATTTTGATTCTCAAGGGGTGATCGTGAGGCGCAGATGTGCAAGCTCCGGGCTTTACAGCAGGATTCACAGTTCTGCCGTGAATAGAATTAATGATTAGAAAAGAGCGATCCAGCGCCAATAGTGTACTCAAACTAGAAACAAGAAATGAAAGCGTGAAGAAGAATCCTTCCGCAGCGAATTGACAAGAGAAGGGAAAAAAGGTAGAGTATTGCAGCTGTGTCTACCTACCCACATATGAAGCACATCGTGCATCCGCTGTGGCGGGGCGATGCTAAGGAAGGTTAATCCAGGGTGCAGCAGCGTTGCTGCATTATCGAAACATCAAGACCCAACCAAGCAAAGTAGGCGAAGAAGTCGAAACAATGTCTGTGTCCATAGTCTTTCGAAAGCACAAGTTATTGCGTTCCGGATCAAACACTTAAAGCCATAACGCGGATATGCTGTCGGCTAAACCATTAGAAGTCCTCTCAACGGGATTTGGTATGAAGAAGCCATGCTTTGTTACGCATGGCATGCGAGATGTAGTGGAGATGCAAAGTGGACAATTGTGCGGTACGCGAAACTGACACGAAACATTAACGTGCTGGTATGCTAAGCCTTAGTTGGCCTAGCCACAAGATGCAACGTCTCGAACGGCATCATGCGAACCTGCGAACTGCAGTGCGAACACGCTGGAATAGTCACATGCATCTGCAGAGCGACTCCGTGTGGCGATTCAGTTGGCGATGTAGCGAGTGCTGAATAAGGCTGGCTTCCGAGTAATATGTGTCATGCGTGTCTATGCTGCAGGGGGTGATTCAGCGCCTACTACACATGGCGAAGGGCTCTAATCTTGTTCCAAATCTTCTTGATACTGAACTTGTTGGTCCCATTCCCCAACCTTGGTAAATGGGCTTCTTAGCCAGTTGTTCAGCTCATGAAGGAAAAGCTTGCTGGTCTCTCTGCCCAGATATTCCGCCAAAAGATTCTCCGCGTGTCCGCTACTTGCCCTCAGATCTACCATTTTCAGGATAGAGACAATGTACGACAGCAAGAATTCAGCGTTGCTACCTGTTGTAACTGCATCGGAGGATGAAGCCTCCGACTCGGTGTGCAGGTAGGTAAAAATGCGGAGTTCGCGCCGAATCCAAGCACGTGCTTTCGACTGCAGTTCAGGCGAGTTTGCGATCAAACGGGGAGAAATGTCACGGTATCCTGAAAAGCGATTACTGCCGACATGCATCGAATACAGTTTCCTTCGGTACACGTCCCTGCGTCTGCGCAACGCAACATCTTCAATCGGCGGCGAATATGGGCGACGTGGGCCGCGTGGTCTGCTCGGCAGTCCGTAAGGTGCGAAAAGAGAGGCATTTGTAGGTGGGTGATTGTTGGGTGGGTGGGTGCGTTGAACAGTATAGCTTTTGTAGTCGGTCGGGGAGCGCCAGTCGTACTGTACAGCTGCAACTTGCGCTTTGCCTGCGTTTCTCGTCAGTAAGAATACATTGCATGAGAAGGGGATGTCTTACATAGAGGACAGGTCGACCGTTGCTGCAACCAGGACACTAGACACACAAAGTCAAACGTGTAATGGTTGCATGGAGAGGCGATGGCCCTCTCTGTTACTGGAGAGAGACATATCACACAAGTGTCGTCGGAATCGCCTTGAGTCGAGCCAGCTGTGTTTGTTGGCATGCGCTTCCTTGTCGTGCTGTCGGGCTGAGGAAACGAGCATGTAGCCCTGATGATGAGCTCATGCCGTCGGGAGTGAGCTCGGGCCAACCAAAAGTGATCGCGACTTCCCTCCTCCAACGCAGCCTGTTCGCTCGACACTCACCTTCCCGCTCGCAGCACGTGTCCAAGGGCGTGCAATTCGTCGCCCATCTTTTGTCTCACCCTGCAGCCAATTTCTCGCGTTGAATGCTCATCTCCGCTATCAGACACGTCACTTTGCCCTCTATCCGACGCTCATTACCAGCTATGCTAGCAACTTCAACCCGGCCTGCTGTCGCCGGGCCAAATGGAAAGGCAACATACCACACTGTGACCGCGCTAAAGAGGTGGTCATGTGACGAAAAAGAGCTACCTTCTGTATCTGACGTCAAGGCAATCCACATCTACGACTTCGACAATACGCGTATGTACATGGCGACTCTCCATCGCAACTAGAGCTGATGTGTTGCAGTCTTCGCAAGTCCTCTGCCGAATAAGCAGCTATGGAACAGCGCGACCATAGGCCAGCTGGGATCACCCGACATGTTCCTCAACGGAGGCTGGTGGCACGACTCGAGCATTCTCGCGGCGACGGGCGAAGGCATCGACAAGGAGGAAGCGCGCGCATGGCAAGGCTGGTGGAATGAACAGATTGTCGAACTCGTCGAATCCTCCATGGCCCAGAAGGACGCGCTGAGCGTGCTTCTCACTGGACGAGGAGAATCTGACTTCGCCGACCTCGTCAAGCGCATGGTTCGCAGCAAGCGATTAGACTTTGACATGGTTTGCCTGAAGCCTGCGATAGGCCCTGCAGGTCAGAAGTTCAGGAACACCATGGAATTTAAGCAAGAGCTGCTCAAGGACATTGTTTACACATACAAGGATGCAGACAAGTTGAACATATACGAGGATCGCGTCAAGCATACCAAGGGCTTCCGCGACTTCTTCTTCCAGTTCAACGAAGACTTGCTGAGAGCGCAGAACCAGGCCTCGCGCCGGCCCATCACGACCGAAGTTATTCAGGTCCCGGAGAATGCCACACAACTCGACCCCGTCGCCGAAATCGCCGAAATCCAGAAGCTAATCAACGCACACAACATACAGGTCAAGTCAGGCAACGCTCCGCCCGGCACTCCGCCCTACCAGATCAAGAAGACTGTCTTCTACACCGGCTACATGATTCCTTCTGACGTAACCGAGAAGTTGACATCTCTCGTCTCCTTGCCCCAGGGCGCACCGAGAGACGATATCCGATATCTCGCCAACAGCATACTCATCACACCGAAACCGTGTCCGAAGAGCATACTTGACAAGGTCGGCGGTATAGGAGCAAGGGTCAGGTGGAAGGTGACCGCCATCTCCTGCTTCGAGAACAAACTCTGGGCTGCGAGAGTTGAAGCTGTGCCTAAAGGGACCAAGTTCTATTCAGAGAACCCCGTACCCACGGTAGTCTTGGCTATTCGTAAAAACGGTCGGCCAGCAGATGCTGCACGAATCGTGAACTGGCATCCCGTACCCCAGGATCAGGCATTCGAGTTTGACAGCGTTGTAGGCGAGAAGCAAATGTTGCGCATTGAGGAAGAGACACCGAACGAAAGCGAGTATGAGAGCTACTTCCCCAACAAAGCTCATCGCAGAGAAGATCAGAACGGCCGTCACGACAACCGGCAGAATCACGGCCGAGGAGGCAGGGACAGAGACGATCGACCAGGTGGTTACCGTGGTGGCAACCGAGACCGCGGCCGTGGTAATAACAGGAACCCTTCGTACGGTCAAAGAGGAGGTGCCCGCGGCGGTAACCGGGGTGACCGTGGCGGCGGTGGTGGTGGTGGTGGTGGTGGTCGGGGACGCGGTCGTGGTGGTGGTGGACAGTACAGGAGTCTGGATGATGTCGACCACGGCTATGGAAACCGAAGCCATGATAACAATCCGGATGCCTTTTACTAAGCCCCGGCTGTGTAATTGTCCAATTGGAGGAGTTCGGTCATGATAGTATGTACTGTTTAATAAGATACCCGGAATCGTTCAGCGCACACCAAGATTGCGTTGCTCTAACAGTCTACATTCACACCATTGATGGACACGAAGCTTTCAACACAACCTCGTTTCTACGCTCTTCGGACCGTGTCAGTGCACGACCTTCCGAAAAGGCCGAGGACGAGGCTGGCAATCGGCGATGACATTTTATTAACACCTTTCTGTAGAACCATTGGGCCACCCAACTCATCACCGATGCGACACGCTACACCTTCTTCAACTGTACCCAGCGTCGTATCAAGCCTAGTCTGTTGTTTTTTATCTCTCGTGAGGATAATATGGGGATACGGGTGGGACACAGTGCCCGAAGGAGGTGAATCGGCGATCGCATGCTGAGCTCCTAGGGTAAAACTTGATTGGGGTTCACCACGACATTGCTTGGGCGCATGGGCTTAGTAAAGCGGGGTGACTGCAGACTTTGGCGATGTATAAGTATGTGAGAGTATGAGAGTTCAGGGTCGTTGACGGACCCTGATCGTCGCTGGCCCATCGCTAGTATGACGTCTATCGTGGACTTCCTGTTTGGGTGATATTGGTAGCTTCTCAGAGTCATTACAACTACGGACCTCGAGGCCGTAAGTGATTGTCGCTCCTTCTCTTGGCGTGTTGCACCATACGGCCGTTTGTTTGCTCACTATCCGTCGCTGACAATCCGACATCCACAGCTGTACCAGTCGAACCGGGTGCTTGCTTCACCCGTCATCTCCTGCCCAGAGTGTCAAAGTCATCGGATTGAAGAACACGTCGATCTACGTCGCCGCTCCCGAGCCCTACTCAACCTACGTTGAAGCTTACCAAGACTTCCCGCCAGCTTGCAGAGTGCCGGCGACACTCCTTCATGCTACAAGATGCCAGTTCAGAGTCGCGACATCACAACCCAGTCCCATCGTCCTCGACAGAGTAGAGCGAATTGACGCCTTCCACATCCTCCATTTCCACGGGAACAAGATGTGTACAAAAGTCATCCTCAAGCACAGCACATGTCAACACGAGTTCTGGGTTAAGCGCAACTGTACACGCCATCCGGAGTGCGTTTTCCTTACTCAAGTCTACCGAGAGAGAGGTGGAGAATGCTGGGAATGCGATCCAGAGCAGGGACCGCCTGAAGCACTTTTTCCGCGCGAAGTGAGCTGGCGAAGGGTTAAAGGCAAGGTCAGGGAAGGAGGTCCTGTCAGCGTTTGAAGCGTGGAAGTGGTGTTATGTCCAGTGTGTAACTATCAATGTCTCATTCAACATATGCGTCGAATATTTGGACCGACAATGCAGATACCTCATCACTCAATCATATGTTCGTCAGATCGTATATCTACATTCTTCCAAGTAAAAAGGGACTCTGCATCTTCTCGCACTTTCTCCACACTCTCCTGTCACCTCCTTACCACCGATATCATCTGATCCAAGTTATCCAACACATCCACACTCATATTCACCGATCACTACCGAGTTTTCCCAACCCGAGCAATTTGAGAACCAACTACCAGCGAGATGTGCACACGCTTCGTCGTCAACTACGCATGCGGTCAGAATAGTTCACCCATATGCAAGCTTTGAACGTCACATATGTAGAGAAGCCGGCGGTATCATAGTATAGTACTCCATCGATATGAATGGGAGATGCGATGCTCATCTTTGCGATGGGCAACAGCCAAGTACTGAGGACAAGGAGCAAAGTAGAACTACAAGAGAGAGGAAGAGAGGTTGAGTGCACAGAGGTGAGCAGGTCGAAGCCGTTCAACGTCGAGACAAGAAGCGTACAGACGGCAGTAACCTTTGTCGGACATCCCGTTCCTTGTATACTGTCCAGGGTATACTTTCTCGAAGATAAGTAGCGACGTAATGGAAGGCACGACACAATAGCACAAACAGGCACGAGTGATTGGACAAGACGAGTTTTTTTTTCATTCCACCCATATACCCATTCTATTCATTTCGTTGCCTTTGGTTTCATTCTATGTTAATCATACAAGCCAAGACAGAACGCCATACCAATGCTGCGCCGTGAAATGCCAGACCGCTAAAAAGGGCAACAGAGACGCGAATAGCTGAAAGCATTACGCAGATGCAAGAGCGAGAAAGCAAAAGCAAAAGCAAACATGCGTCGTAATGCAACGGTACAACATGCAAAAAAGAGAAGAGAGAGAACTAATCACTATCATCCCTGGCCCGTCCAGCCTGACTTCCTTCAAAGTTCCTCATCCTGGTTGCATGGTTGTGGTTGATCATGCTGCGAATGGGATTCTTGCGTGCCGCGCTAACCATGCTGGGTGTAGGAGGGTGTCTTGAGGCGTGAACACCACCGGTTCCATATTGCACTTCGTCAAAAAGGTTGTCGTACTGGCCTTGGGTCAGACTATCCTTTCTTGATGTCTTGGAAGGCTTTACAGGTCGGACAGTTGATACCTCACTAGGTTCAGAGACGATAGATGGTTTGGACTTGGAGGACCGCGAGGACCGGTGAGGGCGTGATGAGTCCTCATCGTCGGCGGAGTCGGCGGATGTCTTCCGCAAGCGGTGGGAGCGGTGAGAGCGTTTTGATGACTTGCTGATGGACGACTCGTTGTCATCGTCATGCTTTTTACTGCGGGATGACTCTTTGTCATCGTCGTGCTTCTTACTACGAGACGAATCTTTGTCATCGCTATGCTTCTTGCTGCGATGGCTCACGGATGTCTCAGCGTCGTCGTCCTTCTTGGACTTATGGCTGCGGTGGGAACGGTGCCTACGCCGTGGACCATCGCCGATCTGAGAGATACTGTCGCTGGGAACGACAGTGTCAAGATCATCCTCGCTTACTTCTTCAATGTCAAGGTCGTCGATGAAGTCGTCATCGTCATCATCGTGCTTGGACTTGTCACGGCCTAGGATGCTGCTGACAATGGAAGCAGCCTTGGATGCAACCTTGGTGGGGGCCTTTGATGGAGCCTTCGATGCAGGGGCCGGTGGAGAAGGCGATGAGCTACGCTCCTTGCGACTGCTACTACTGTGCTCTTTGTGCGAGCTATGTTTTGAAGATGAAGTGTGAGAGGACCTGGCTTTTGATCTGCCCGAGCTACTCTTGTCATCATCGTCAGCACGATCTGCCACGAACGATGAGATGAAAGAGCTAGGAGCTGCGCTATGTGCTTTCGAGACTACACTTTGAGGCTTGGACGATGGTCGTGGAGGCTTTGACTTTGTTGCGACACTTTCCGGCCTAGCAGTGGAGACAGTGCTTCTTGCCCTTTCAATCATCAGCAACTCAGGGCTGGTATTGGAGCGGTGAGCTGCCGTGAGCCTCGAAGGAGCCCTTGACGGGGCAGTAGAGTATGCAGGGGCATATTCGATCGCGAGTGGCTCTGCGATCTGCGTGCGAGGAGCCTCAAACTGAGACGGTGAGTAGTAGCTAGCGGGCGCAGCCTCGATTTGTCGTGGCACAGAAGTCCTAGGAATCTGGGAAGCGCGCGAATAGGATGATTGCGCGTCGTCTTCAATGCGGCGTGCTACAGGTACTACTGGCTGAGCAGGAGTTGGCGGTGCAGCGGTCTCGACAGGTGGTTGCGCGGGTTGTGGGTCCTGCTGGGGTGTCGGGGGTTGGGATGAGGCCTGGGCGAAGAAGCCAGCCGCAGTGTTGACCGCGTTTTTGGCGTCCATGAAGGCGCTGAAATCCGCCTCTTTCTTCGCACTATCTTTTTCGCTCCGCATGAATGCATATGTGACGGCTGCACCTGCAGCAGCTCCAAGTAATGTTCCGAGGATGTGCGTGGCCGCCCCACTGCTGGAGTCGGATTTCGTCGTCGTTTCGGGAACAGGAGCGACAGTGGGTGCAGAGGCGCTTCTGGCTACAGTCGGTGGCTTCGGAACAGCTGATTCGGCCGGTGGTGCCATTGGTGTTGCGCCAGCTCTCGAAGCACACGTGTGGGCACTGAAAATACTCGGGCTTTCCCGGAAGCTCTGCGAAACTGTCCTCGACCACGTGATAACCCGGCTGTGTTCGATAATGGTACCATCGTTTCTCATGTCTGGTCCATTTCGGTAGACGACCTCGATGCTGTTTCCGTCAAAGTCCAGTACTGCGGCATTGAAGTGACCGTCTTCCGCGCAACGAGAACCCGGTGACCCATTGGGACGTCCGCCGGCAGTTAGTGCAGCGGTATAGAAGTTCCGGACCGCAGTCGTGCTAGGTGCGGTGAATGCGATGTGTGCTGCGCCGGCCCTTACACTACTGAGCTGTCAGTTGCGGTGTGCCTGGTGATCATTTGTGGTACTGACCCAGACGTTTCTTGGCAGAGATAGAAATCGGCATCATGGATCCCGAGGCCAATTTGGTTGCCAAATTGGCCGATGTAGCGGTAGCCCAGTGGTTGAAGCGCAGAGAGAAAGAATGACGTTGACGTTGGAAGATGCGATACCGTGAGACCAATGTGGGAGACGGGCATTGCTGAACAGCGGTGAACAAAAACAAGAACGACAGGACGCGGACAGAACGATCGCCGAGAGGAGAGTCAAGAAGGAAACAAGATATGAATATGCACACGATCAGGTTTGAACGTGTTAGAGCGGTTGGAGATGTATGGTGTGAGTAGGGAGGGCAAGTATCGGTACGGCCTCGAGGTTTATATCATGAACCCCGTCCAGGTGCAGCGTCTCGATGCATCGTGAACCGAGTGGCAGGGCGTTCCATACCGTTGCGGGACACACCCTACTAGCACGCCCCACTGCTGCAGTTAGCTATCAAGGAGGTCGCTGTCAAGATGTTGTGATGCTGCCACATGTCCTGCGTCTGCAGCTAACAAATTTGTTAAAGTAAGCGAGGTGTCGGTGTATGACATTGGTCCTCGACGTCGGCCCGGAGCCGCGAGAGGTTTAAGTCGCCGCACGCCTCACATTGCGTACTGCGCTACAGTACGTATGGACTCATAGCATTCTGGTCGCTTGTCGCGTGCAACAGAGTATTTGCGGTCTGGACGCGCCACTTGTCGTCGTAACGCGCCATTGGACATGGCGTGACGTCGACACTGGGGCACCGTTCGCACAAGAACCAAGATGTTGCTGCAGTGAGGCTACGATCGCAGGCATCGTGGTAGATTCTTGGAGTCGCACCAAAAAGTCGGTAGGACTTGCCATGCTGTTGCTTTTTTCGATGTTTACGCGAGATCATCATGGGAGATCGGCGATGCGGCTCCATGTATAGATGCTACCCGTTGCCCTCCCGCCACATGCGCAGAATGCGATGAGTCCCGTCAGGGAAGCCTCTAACCTCATGAAGTATAGGATGAGCGAATAACCGGGTATATGCTTGAAAGAGGGGTTCAAGGGATCGTACTGCGAAAATGACGTGAAGTATACTTTTTTCATTCGCCAGATATGTCATTCCTGACACTGATGATCCTCCTGCTCAGAGTTCCTAGAGTGGATGAAGAGCCGCGATATCCTACAAGCTAGCTACTGACAGACATGTTTCGAAATCGAACGACAGGCCCTGATTAGACCCAGTGGTATGACACCGTACACAAGGCGCACATAGACTAGCGTACTGTGCTGACAGAATAAGATGAAAGGAAAACAGGAGGTGCGGGGTAGGTTGAGCTGCCCCGCGATCTTCAAAAGAAGATTGATTGTTGTGCGTTGAGCCAGAGTAGTTGTTTTGTTGTAAAAAAACCTCAAGCAGACGCCCAAAATCAGATGCAGTAGCGCACAGGCTGTCGATGTTGCGATCTAAGCCATGAACGTGTCCTGCAGCCTATATGTCCTGGTTATTTTTCATCAATGTGCGGTCCGTGATCCGACTCGTCCGCCGTGAGTCAGTTGTTACTTGTGGGCTAGCTGGCGTGTCCGGTATGGATAGGTCCAACCCTTGGTCGTGCTGCCGAACTAGAAGATGTTCCAAACGTCTTCCGCAGCATGGCAGAACTTACTGCATGCAACGCTGGCACTGAGGTTAAACTGGCTAATGGCGATGCTGTCGTCCTTGATGTGATCGGCAAAGTCGTCGTTGCCCTTGGCCATGGCACCTACGAAGACTGCAATGCTCTCGCCCTTGTTGAGGCCGCCAATGTAATCGCTGACACGTACGACCTCGGAGTCGAAGCTGAGCGTGACCTTGCGGCAGTTGGGGGGAAGGTGATCGGTAATGGGGTTCTTGATGACTTCGATGAGTTTTTCCTGGGATGACGTGGACCGGATCTGATGTCTGTGCAGGAGTTGAACCATGAGTCCAGCGAATCGCTTGAAGGTACGAGGAATGCGCACTGTAGGGCTGACCCTTATGAGCACATTCTTGGAGGTGTGGATGTAGATTTGGAGCTTGCCCGCCTTGTTGATTGGCGAGTCAAGCAATGTGAGCAGACACTGTAGCGCCACGTTAGCTGACGAACGCCCTTAGCCCCCTCTTGTACGCACTTGATGTGTGATGTCAGGCCGGGCCTCGCTGATATCGCGCCCCATCTTGCGCATTACGCCAATGTGATCGTCGCTGTTGAGCAGATTATACTTGTCTTCGCGCGCGCCGGGGCCCCGACCGGTGCCATGTGACGCCTTGTAGGTCTCGAGGGTCGCATTGCACAGAACGACGATCAGGCGCTGCGTGTCTTTGTCGTTGGTCGGGATGGGGGCATGCTGCTCGGCGACTAGCTTGGGCAACTCTGGGGGAGGCATTGATTGTGTTCCTGCGCGCGGTACCGTAGTGTCAGCGTTGTCGGCGATTGATAGTGAGCAAAGGCAATAGCGTCACCAAGAAATCCGCGGTCGACATACTTGCGCGCTTCTTTCCCCGCTCGGCTGAGTCTCGGGAGGTAGGTCTTTCTGTTGGCGAGTTGGACTCTTCGGATTTAGGGAGGGGAGCCATGTTGACGTATGGTGATAGACAAGTTACTCGAGTAACCTTTGTACGACTCTGTGTGACGTTTGGCGCGAAAAGATTGATCCAAGGCAGGGAAAAGCGAAGAAGTGATGAGTCGTTTATTCGGGTACCTGAGGATTAGCAATGGCTACATGCACTTACACACCAGTATTGATCAAGTGTCTCTTGGTCGACGAGAAGAAAAAAAAAAACGGTGGATATGCGGTAAGCTCGAGCAATGGCTGGGAACTACGCGCCCTATTTGTGCGAACTGTCGGTGAAAACAGCGTTTTTCCTTTGTCCAATCACAAACGGGCGAGCGGCATGATTACGTGAGAACCCCAACAATCCACCGACTTAGTCCTCATCACCAACTCGCCTATGCACCTTACCACGCAGAGTACAACAACGGGATGCACCAGCGTTGTGTTGGAAGCAGACAGCAAGCTGTTGCCTTAGTCACTGGCTATATGCGACGTGGTCGTCCATTGTAGCGACGGTTGTTTGACTCGACGCCGGGTCGTTCGTTGGTCCGGGGAAATCCAGCGTCAAGCGAGGTCCGCAAGCGCAAGAGTATCCGAGGATGCGCAGTCAACTCGGCGTCAGTCACTGCTTACACCGACAACACCCGTGGCTTCGAGAGGAAGTGCTCCTTGCAAGTAATGTAAGCTCCCAGTCGGGCGTCGGAACGTTCTGCAACGAAAGCGTCTCACCATAGTCTCTTGGCCCGCCTTGCATTTGAAACAGTCACCATATCAGGCGGTCGCCTCACATCGAACATGCCTCTATACGCCATGCGTATGGCCTTTTCTGTAAACATCATGCGATCTGCCAAGGATACTAAGCGGTCAGGTCATGCGCGAAACGAGTCTGGTTTGGCCGTCGCGCTGCCGCCTGAGCGGCTCTGTGGTGGGTACATGAACGCTAACCGTCGCATTTTGCCCGTCCCTGTCGCTGTCATCCAACATCACGTCCTCTTTCCTTATTCCGATTCTATCAAGTCGCAGGCGATATCTTTACACATTCTTTTGGTGGCAGCCGGCTGTCTTGATTCTGATCGTCATCGCAAGCTCGTAAACGCTCCGACAAAACAAATATTATTCCAGTCACCTCGGCCAATTCGACCGTTCGCAACCAAACAACTTCAATATGGCTTTCGAATGGCTTGCACCGATCCTTACGCCCGCCGCCCTGCGCTCCGTACAAGCTGACGGTCGACCTGTTATCACGCTCTTTCTTGTAATCTTCGGTCTCTCAGTCTTCGGTGTCCTGATATGGTACGTCCACTTTGTCACATCTAAGATGTATCCGAAGAAGAAGGATCCAAATGCCAAGAAGGGCCCGTTGCTCGGCTTCATTAAGCGATAGATGGTGGAAGAGGGCGGAGGAGGGCACGCTGGGCCAGGCTTAAGACGAGCAGGATCCTGCCGATGGAGGACGACATGACCATCAAGAGAATAATTGCGACGTTCATGCTCTATCGCCAAGCGCAATCGCGATCGAGTCTACGTCGAAACCACTCAGATCGACACTGGTCTCCCTTCGACTCACCACGGCGCGTCGTCTGTCTTGCGGGGGGGTTGAAGGATGGATCAGACCTGTTAATACTTGTCGCAAATGGTGTTGACAGGCCACCGAGGAGCACGCGGGTTTCATACCTATGAGCGAATGACTTGCTTTACTTTCAAAATTCAATACATAATTCTTACCCATCACACATCGAATTCTTACATATACGAAAAACTGGAATATCTGTAGATCAAAACACTGACATGTGATTCGATAACTTATTCCAGGCCAATCGCCATACAACCTTTTCCGAAGCTTGTCGGCACTCATGAGGTCCATCGGGGATTACAAGCCAATGACGTATGACCTACCCACTCTGGATAAAAATGCAGCAAGTACACGTATATACGAACACATGGCTTATGTCCGATTACTCTTAATCATTTCACTAGATATGTGGGTGCCTTTGAGTGATATAAAACCTGATGGAAGGCGAATAATATGATGCCACCACACAAGATACCAACACACGCTTGAGACAGTTATCATCATGTCTGCTCAGTCTATACCATCAGCATTGCCTCTACAAGGCAAGGTTGCTATAGTCACAGGCGCTTCGCGAGGAATTGGGGCTGGCTTGGCGTTAGAGCTGGCGCGAAGGGGAGCAAAAGTCAGTCCACCGACTTTGACCAAGTCAATCAAGCCGCTGATACATGTGACAGGTCACCCTCGTATACACATCTCCGAGTAGTGGAAATCTAGCAGAAGAGATTGCCTCAAAGATCAAATTACTTGGCAATGGTAGCGATTCGAAAATCGTTCAAGCTGACCTCAAACAACTCGACGCGCCTGAGAAGATCGTGTCGGCGACTCGGGAAGCGTTTGGTGATAAAATCGATATCCTCGTCAACAACGCTGGCGTTTTGTTTGACAGGTCCATCACGGAGACAACAGCAGAAGACTACTCCAGCATATTCGATGTCAACGTCCGCGCACCTCTCCTTCTCACAGCCGCGGTAGTGCCCCATCTACGTGCACCAGGCCGCATCATAAACATGTCGTCTATAGGCGCACGACTAGGTATCGCCAATCTGACTCTCTATACTGCATCCAAAGCAGCGATTGAAGGCGTGACCCGGAGCCTGGCACAAGAGCTAGGCATTGCAGGGCATACAATCAACGCTGTGGCGCCGGGTCCCACAGAGTCGGAAATGTTGGACAGTGTACCGAAAGAGGTCGTGGAGGTCCAGTTGAAGCAAACTGCAGTCGAGAGAAGAGTTGGCACCGCGGACGATATCGCAAGAATTGTGGCCTGGCTCTGTAGCGACGACGCGAAATGGGTTTCGGGTCAGACCATCTCCGCGAGCGGTGGTTTTCTGAAATTGTAAACGCGTCCTGTCAATGTTTGGCAATAAAGCTTCTTGTTTGATATGGAAGCTTGAAGTGGATCTCATGGTGTTTGGGTTCTAAGACCGGAAATGTTTGGACGGGAATAGATCGGATTTAGTTGGTACGCGGGCAAGTGACCGTTCAAACAAACATGCAGAGTACAACCGAGCGAGTACACATTTGTGCGGAAGTCGATGACGCCACAACCGTTGGATGGTCGATATTTTAACATGCATGCTTAGGGATCGTCTTCTTCAAATTGTGAAAGAAAACTGATATCAAGACTTCTTAGGTGGGCTTGAATAGTCGCAAGCTTCAGCCAAGACGTACGAGCAGCAGTGCATCCATCTCTTACAGCTGTCACTCTCAGCCATGCCGCAAGATTATCGTGCGCCATCGAAGCTTGTGTCCAGATCCACATGGGAAGGCGGTCGAAAGCCGTCGGAGGCTCGGAGCACAACGTGGAAGTCGTAAGGTGAGCCAGCATCGGCAGTTGAGCCTCAACGCACCGACCAGGGGCTGGATGGAGGCGCTTCACTCTAACGCACTAGGTTTTAGCCTACCACGTCCCAAACGCCTCTCAAACGCCTCGCTCTGCCATTTCGCATGGCGAAGACTAAAATGCATGGCCATTCACGTTTCAGAGGTCAAGCTTGGCATAGGCCTAGCCCTAGCCACGCCATCTCGCGTCCCTAATTGGCCATCATCCCGTTGCGATACGCGCTCGTAGACAGCGGATCTTACGGCGTCGCAGCTTTGCACTGCAGAGCCATGAAAGATGGTTCGACTTCTGCTACCGTTTCGCTCTTTGGGCCCTGGATTGCCCATCCTCCCGACCATCTGACGGACTGATACCCTTTACCCACTTCGCCAATGGCAAAGCTGACCTGACCTTGTCCTAACCCCCGTCGTCGGTGCCGCTTCTTCCTCTGTTCGCCGCAACGTTGGCTTATAGGCTTTTGTTTCCCCTACTCACCCCAAGACTCGACCGATTTCATGCCGGTGCTTCTTTAGCCGGGTGACTGAACGCCTCTTCTTGTACTATTTCTCTTCTTTTGTGCGGGCACTCTTAGTAAGTCACTTCATTCTTTTCCCAGGGCTTCTCGTGCTGGTGTGTCGCTGTCCCTGGTGCCTTCGATCTAACCTCTGCACAGATTACTTAGACACTCATTGAACTTGTTGCTCCACTTCGGCCACATTCAGCAGGTCTGAAGATCATCGGCATCCACACCAGTCATTCAATTGCTGCTACATTCGCTCCACTCAGCAGCTATGTCGTACACCACCAGCCTCACAGGTCGCGAGCGGTCAAGATGGCCACCGCTGACGCGCATGCTCATGTCCGGAGAGATGTCGGACGAAAAGGCGCGAGAGTTGACCCGGAAAGAGAAATTTGACGTGTGGATGGTCAACGAGGGTTACCGAAGATTGTAGGTCACAGCACCAGGCCAAAGAAGCAAATCGACTAACGTATCAAGCTTTGTATTCACCTTTGCGATATTACACGTCATGGTCTTCGTCTTTGGTATGATGAACTATGGACTGAAGGATAACTCTATTGGTTCAAGGAATCGCTTTGGTCTGACCTTCCCCATTGCTCGTTCGGCCGCTCTGGTGCTCCACGTCGACGTCGCTTTCATCCTCTTTCCAGTATGCAGGAACCTCATTTCTATGGCCCGTCGTACGCCGCTGAACGACGTAATTCCTTTCGACAAGAACATTACCTTTCACAAGCTGGTGGCCTGGTCCATCGTGTTTTTCTCCTGGGTTCATACCATCGCTCATTGGAACAATCTCGCGCGGTTTTCGGCAACGAACGACCTAGGGTTTATGGGATTCATCCTAGCTAACCTTGCGACTGGACCTGGATGGAGTGGTTACGTCATGTTGATTGCGCTCAACGCGATCGCTATTACAGCTGCTGAGAAGGCTCGTCGCGCAAACTTTGAACGCTTCTGGTACATGCACCATCTGTTCATCATATTCTTCGTCTTCTGGTCGATCCATGGAGCCTTTTGTATGATTCAGCCCGATTTTGCGCCTTTCTGCGATGGAATTGGTGTCTTCTGGGAGTACTGGATGTACGGTGGATTTGCCTACCTGGCTGA